TCAGTCTGGAGATTCCTCAGAAACCTGAATATAGCCCTACCATACAACCCAGCCATCCCACTCCTTGGAATTTACCCAAAGGAAATTAAATTGGCAAACAAAAAAGCAGTCTGCACCTTAATGTTTATTGCAGCTCAATTCACAATAGCTATGACCTGGAATCAACCTAAATGCCCATCAACAGTAGATTGGATAAAGAAATGATGGGATATGTACTCTATAGAATACTATACAGCACGGCCGGTGCCGCGGCTCACTAGGCTAATCCTCCACCTTGTGGTGCCGGCACACCGGGTTCTAGTCCCGGTCGGGGCACCGGATTCTGTCCTGGTTGCCCGCCTTCCAGGCCAGCTCTCTGCTGTGGCCAGGGAGAGCAGTGGAGGATGGCCCAAGTCCTTGGGCCCTGCACCCAATGGGAGACCAGGAGAAGCACCTGGCTCATGCCATCGGATCAGTGCGGTGCACTGGCCGCAGCGCGCCGGCCGCGGCGGCCATTGGAGGGTGAACCAACGGCAAAGGAAGACTTTTCTCTCTGTCTCTCTCTCTCACTGTCCACTTTGCCTGTCAAATAAATAAATAAAGAATACTATACAGCAGGAAAAAAAAATCCGGTCATTTGCAACAAAATTGAGGAATCTGGAAAACATCATGCTGAGTGAAATAAGCCAGTCCCAAAGGGACAAATATCATAGGTTCTCCCTGATCGGTGACAACTAACCGAGCACCAAAAAGGAAACCTGTTGAAGTGAAATGGACACTATGAGAAATGGTGATGAGATCAGCCCTTGCCCTGTTTTTTGTTTTGTTTTGTTTTTTGACAGACAGCGTGGACAGTGAGAGAGAGAGACAGAGAGAAAGGTCTTCCATTTGCCGTTGGTTCACCCTCCAATGGCCGCCGCAGCTGGCGTGCTGCAGCCAGTGCACCGCACTGATCCGAAGGCAGGAGCCAGGTGCTTCTCCTGGTCTCCCATGGGGTGCAGGGCCCAAGCACTTGGGCCATCCTCCACTGCATTCCTGGGCCACAGCAGAGAGCTGGCCTGGAAGAGGGCCAACCGGGACAGAATCCGGTGCCCCAACCCGGACTAGAACCCGATGCCCCAACCTGGACTAGAACCCGGTGTGCCGGCACCACAAGGTGGAGGATTAGCCTAGTGAGCCATGGCACCGGCTTCCTTGCCCTGAGACTGAGCACCAAAGGGGAAACTTGTTGAAGTGAAATGGACACTGTGAGAAACAGTGACTTGATCAGCTCTTCTCCTGACGGTTGATGTACAATGTAATACTTTATCCATTTTAGTATTTTTTTTGTTCTAGTACCATTGGTTGAACTCTGTAATTAACACACAATTGTTCTTAGGTGTTTAAATTTTAACTGAAAAGTGATCCTGTTAGGAATTTGGAAAACATTATGTTGAGTGAAATAAGCCAATCCCAAAGGGACAAATACCACTTGTTCTCCTTGATAGGTGACAACTAACTGAGCACCAAAAAGGAAACCTGTTAAAGTGAAATGAACACTATGAGAAATGGTGACTTGATCAGCCCTCACCCTGACTGTTGATGAGCAGCTTAATATGTTATACCTCTTAGTATTTTTTTGGTTTGTTCTACTTAATACTTTTGGTTGAATACTGTAATCAATACACAATTCTTCTTAAGTGCTGAAACTTAACTGAAAAGTGTTCGCTGTTAAATATAAGAGTGGGAATAAGAGAGGGAAGAGATGTGCAATTTGGGACATGCTCAAGCTGACTTGCCTCAAACGGTGGAGTTAGAAACATACCAGGGGATTCCAATTCAATCCCATCGAGGTGGCATGTACCAATGCCATCTCACTAGTCCCAGTGATCAATTTCTGCTCACAATTGATCGTAATGATAGGACTAAGAACCAAAGGGATCACATAAACAAGAATAGTGTCTGCAAATACTAGCTGATAGAATAAAAAAGGGAGAGAATGATCCAACATGGGAAGTGAGATACACAGCAGACCCATAGAATGGCAGATGTCCTAAACAGCACTCTGGCCTCAGAATCAGCCCTTAAGGCATGCGGATCCGGCTGAAATGCCCATGAGAGTATTTCAGGCATGGAAAGCCAAGACACTCTGGGGGGAAAAAAAAACCTAAATGAAAGATCTCTGCGAGTGAGATCCCAGTGGAAAGAATGGGTCATCAAAGAAGGAGGTACCTTTCTCTGAAGGGAGGAGAGAACTTCCACTTTGACCATGGCCTTGTCTAAAAATTATCAGAGTCAGTGAACTCAGGGGGCTTCCACAGCCTTGGCAACTCATGACAAGAGCCTAGAGTGATTACTGATGCCATAAACAAGAGTGTCAATTTGTTAAGTCAACAACAGGAGTCACTGTGCACTTACTCCTCATGTAGGATCTTTGTCCTTAGTGTGCTGTACATTGAGATTTAATGCTATAACTAGTACTCAAACAGTATTTTTCACTTTATGTTTCTGTGTGGGAGCAAACTGTTGAAATCTTTACTTAATGTATGCTAAACTGATCTTCTGTATATAAAGAGAATAGAAAATAAAAAAAAAAAACAACTACTCTTAGGTGTTTAATTAATGCTATAACTAGTACTCAAATAGTATTTTACACTTTGTGTTTCTATGTGGGTGTAAACTGTTGAAATCTTTACTTAATATATGCTAAATTGATCTTCTGTATATAAAGATAATTGAAAATTAATCTTGATGTGAATAGAAGGGGAGAGGGAGTGGGAGAGAGGAGTGTTGTGGGTGGGAGGGAAGTTATGGGGGGGGAAGCTATTGTAATCCATAAGCTGTACTTTGGAAATTTATGTTCATTAAATAAAATAAAATATAAAAAAGTCAAAAAAAAAAAAACAACGTAATACATGGTTACATTTGACAAGAGTAGTAGGGGCCCATGCCACGGCTCACTTGGTTAATCCTCCACCTGCAGCGCCAGCATCCCATAAGGGCGCCAATTCTAGTCCTGGTTGCTCCTCTTCCAGTCCAGCTCTCTGCTGCGGCCCAGGAGGGCAGTGGAGGAGGGCCCAAGTGCTTGGGCCTCTGTACCTGGGTGGGAGACCAGGGAGAAGCACCTGGCTCCTGGCATTTGGGGTGGTGAACCTTTCTCTGTCTCTCTCATTGTCTATAGCTCTTCCTGTCAAATAATAAAAAAAAAAAAAAGTAGGATTCCTCTACCTTGGCACCATTGACATTTTAGCCTAGATGCCTTCTAGGATGTTAGTGGCATTACTGTCTATCCACCATACGCAAGTGACACTCTCCCTAGTTGTGATCATGTCTCCAGACATTGCCTTATTGTCCCCTAATGGGATAAAATGATATCTGGATAAGAATCATAGGCCTTGAAGAAATAGCACTTTTCTAATCTCCCCCAAAGCATCATAAGATCAGTTAGTAGTTCCAGAACTTACCATGGTCCTGTGAATATTCCTCAGGCTAAGCAGTCCCAGATGACAACTTCCACACAATATGAGGTTTCTAGTCCCTTTCCTCCTATGTCTGTTTTCTGGACTCTACTTGGGTATGCATGTGTTTTCATGAGTCATGGAATAGTACAGATTATTCCAGACTATGAACTAGAAGAAGCTCTTTCTTCCAAGCAAGGCAGCATGTTGGTGGTCCAACGAACATTATTTCTTTGCCTCTACCCCTTCTCATAGTATTTTTTTTTAAATCTACGAATGGTTTTATCCAATTTTTTTTGGAAAGTTAAGTCATCCTTATGTAAATTTCTGCTGTTGTACACCCTGGAGTACATTGGATATTTGCTACTTCTCATATTAGAAGTAGCCAATTTAAAAAATAAAAATCCGCAATCCCTGGGTGTCTACCTTTAATATTTCAGGGTCTTTATCTAAACGTGTGAGCCATGGCTACCTCTATCATGACGCATAAAAATCTCTCACACCTCACTCTTCAGATGCTTTGGAAGTTGAACGTTTAACTCCTCCAAGTCCCCATCCACTACAAAGTCTGTTTTATAAATGCGGCTTAACATAAAAGGGTCTGTTTTTTTCTAAACATGTCCAGTATTTTCTCATTATGGTGAACAGGCAATTCCACTTTATCCATGTAGATTTGTTTCCCTTCTTTGCATTAATCTGTTTTACATTTGTTTTGGATTCTGAACATACTCGGTGTGCACAACATTTAGTAGATATATAATTAAGGAAAGGGGATTCTAATAGTCACTTGAAAAGAAAAAACGTCTAACACAACCTTTTTGGTCCAGTACTAACAGGAATATTCGAGAGAGGACTCTGGGAATTGAAGAAGCAGCTCTCCTGTCTCAAATGCCGACTAGGGAAAACCAGGAGTGGATTCTGGGAGACAGGACGCGAGGTTTAGGGATGAAAACACTTGTTAGTGTCCCAGCTTCCCCGTCCCCGGGCCAAGACTCAAAGGCGGCGCAGGTCACAGGGCTGCCGGCGCCGGCGCTGGCTGCACAGGTATTCCGCGGTTCTTAAGGCTGAGCTCAGCCTAAGGACAACTGTCACAAACTGCACCGCAATCTAGATTTGTCCAGAGTAACGCGTTTAGAATTCGAAATAATTATAAATTAGAAACGGGGTGGGGGGGGATGAACCCTTCTGGCGGGAATACCTGACACTAAATAACGGTGTGTGAAAGGGCATTTAGCTTGTTCTCCTCAAATAGACGGCTTACTGAGAAAAGCATTCAACAAATCTTGCCCCAGAACGCTACGAGCGGAAAACAGACGGCCACTAATAAGCCCCACTTATAGGCGCGACGGGTGGTAGCCGGGACGGGCCAAACTTGGTGATCGTACTTGCGCCGAAGCTCGCCGGCGGCGTCTGACGAGCGCCTTCCGGACGCAAAGCATTATGGGAGGCGCGGCGGCCTGCGTGGTGGGGGCGCGCCCTGTGGAGACACAACGAACTCTGAGGGGAGTGACGCGCCCACTGCAGTGGCAGCTTGGGGGTCACACGCTTTTTGTGGTCATCGGGCGTTGTCCACGCGGCGCAGGGGCTGCCCTCAGTTTTCTCGAGTCCCCTTGAAACGCACGGTGACGCATTTCCTGAGCGTGCCAATCCCGGGCTGACGGGAGGGCGGGCTCTTCAAATTTGAATTCCCAGACTTGTAAGTGCTGGGGAACCTCGCAGCGTTTGTGAGCGACTCCTGAGGCCCGGCTGCGGCGGACGGCGGTCGTCGTGGGCCTGAGGCGCGAGCCCGTGGGCGTGGAGCTCGCCTGCGCACGTAGCCGAACCGGGACTGCTGTGGCCTCGCCTACCCGGCCCGCCCGCCAAGGTACCACCTCTCCGCCCCGCTCCCCTCGCCCCGCGTTCCGGATCCCTGCGGCCTGCGCGCGTCGCCCGGCTTTGCTATTCGCGGCCCTTCCCAGCCTCTGTTGACTGAGGCAGTGGTTTGTCCGCGGCGCGTTCACCCGTGAGTGGGTGCTGCGTGTCCGCTGCAGCTGTCAAGGCAGTAGAACACTCAGGTTACAGCGGTGGACACTCTAGGTCTGCGTTCTAGAAATCGCCTCTGGGAAAAAATAATTTGAGTTGGAATGATTACTGGGCAGGCAATTTGTTTGTGTCAGTGCCCGGCTCTTCACCTTGGGATCCACGACCCCCAGGGCTGTAGGAACTATCGACCCATCCGACTTAGGTGTTTTTCTGAGGAAACTTTATGCTAGTTGCACAGGTTTTCAGTTGTTAATTTATTTAGAAAATGGAAGGTCCGTCTAGAGATCAGCAATGTTTATAGTTTGATGTACTTCCAGATTTTTTTTTTCTGTGCTTATACTCATAAGTTGTGTGCTTTATATGACTTTTTACAGACATATAGTTATACCTGATCTCTTCTGTTTTAACTTTTGGTAGTTTCTATGTCAGTATATATAAAATATTTTCGTATATAATATTGAATATATATGTTGAATTATGTTGATATAGAACTTCTTTCCCCTGATTAGCGGACATTCAGTTTTCTAATCTCCCCAGTTCTCTCGATAGCCTATGTTGCCTATTAGTTAAGCACTTGGGCTCTGTAATCGCATAGACTTGGTTCCTCCTCTTCCTCACTTACTGTGAAGTGTCAACTTGGGCAGGTAACTTTACCAGACTAAACAATAATGGCATCTATTAAAAGAGTTGCTTTAAGATTATATAGCAGCTAACAGGTAGTAAATACTATTTTTATCATTCTGGTAAGTAAAAGAAAGCTCCCTGTTTGAATTTTACATCTGTATTTTTTAGTTAATTGGGTGTGGTTTGATTCACTTATCAGCCTTTTGTATTAATCGCCTTTTATATCCTTTAGTCATTTTATGGATTAATAATTTTAATAAACTGATTAATTGTATATTTATTAGCTCTTACGTTCTGCATTTTTTTTTCAAGTGTTATATTTGTCTGTTAACTTTAAATTCTCAGTTTCCTCAACTCCATCTCCCAGTTTTGGTTTGTGTTCTCTGGCATTTTTTATTTTGTATTCCATTATAGAAATTGTTATTATCATTGCTAATGTGATAAATTCCTGAAAACTTTGTGTCTTTTTGGGAGAAAGAGTAATAGTTACATTATCGTATACATGATAACAATTTTTTAGCCTTGGTTCTGTTTACATATTTCCTATAAGACTATCTACCCTTTCATGCTGTGATTTTCTTATTCCTGGATCTTTACTGCTAAATAAGTGGCAGTTTTTCCTTAGTCATCAGCATTTGTCAGTTTTCAGAACAAGATGAAAGGACTCAATTTTCTCAACAGCTGTAAGAAGTTAATGAAAGCAGAACATTTTAGAATTTATCTATTCTACTCCAAAAAGAGTCTATTTAGAAGGAGCTGATTTTTTATTAGTTACGTTCATCTGTTAAACCAAGCCTTCAGGACAAACTGTTCTTTCCTCCACTTGAAGGGTGCTAATTATTATGATTGTTGTTATTTTCTGAAGAGGGATTTTTTTAAAAAAAGGTTTATTTATTTGAAAGGCACAGTTGAGGGGGAGGTGGGATAGCTTCTGTACACTGGTTCGCTCCCCCAGATGGCTGAAGCCAGGAGCCTTGAACTCGATCTAGGTCACTCACATGGGTATAGGGGCCATCCTCTGCTGCTTTCCCAGGCGGCATTAGCAGGGACCTGCCAGGAGTAGAACCTGCCCTCATTCAGGATGCAGGTGTCCCGGGTGACGGCTTATCCCGCTGTGACATAGCACCAGACCAAGTGTTTTGTTTATAATAAGAACTATACTTGTAGAAGTCTTTTGTGCCAGTTTCTCTGGTACACAGTATGTTAAGTTGCCTTTTATTTCAGATATTGCTTGCACCATTCATTCAGTTCTATTGTTTTGATTTTCTTTGGGGACTCAGCTTACATACTTGTTGAATCTTCATTGACTGCTCCATGAATCAATTTCTTGAAAAGATTTTAAAATGATAGTTTCATTTAATTTTTCATATTTGTTTCATTTCTAGTGTTTTTTACTATATTTTCCACTGTATTTATATTCTTTGTGTTCCTTGCCTTTTATGTCTGATTTTATGATGTCTGATTTTTTTCCTCTTTTCTGTTTATTGACACTGTATACATAATTATGGGGTGCAATTTGTTATTTTGGTACATGTATGCATTGCATTTTGAGCAAATCTAGTTAGTTGGCAACATTTCTTTGTAGGGAGAACTTTAAAAACTCTTTCAGCTGACTTGAAATATACAATATCTTATTGTTATCTACAATCACTTTACCATACAATAGAACACCAAAACTTATTCCTCATATCTAATTGTAACTTTATACCATTGACCAGCTTCTCTCCACCTTCCCCTCCCCACCCTTTCCCTAGTCTTGGGTAACTACTTTTCTTTTCTTTATTTATTTATTTATTTGACAGGTAGAGTTATAGACAGTGAGAGAGAGAGAGAGAAAGGTTTTCCTTCCATTGGTTCACCCCCTAAATGGCCGCCAGGGCCGGCGCTGTGCTGATCTGAAGCCAGGAGCCAGATGCTTCTTCCTGGTTTCCCATGCGGGTGCAGGGGCCCAAGCACTTGGGCCATCCTCCACTGCCCTCCCGGGCCACAGCAGAGAGCTGGACTGGTAGAGGAGCAACCGGGACTAGAACCCAGAGCCCATATGGGATGCCAGCACAGTGGCTCACTTGGTTAATCCTCCACCTGCAGGTAACTACTTTTCTACTCTCTTGTTTTGTTTAATGATTTATTTAAAAGGCAGAGCTACAGATGGAGAGAGAGAGAGAGAGAGACAAAGATCTTCTACCCACGGGTTCACTCCCCAAATTGCTGCAACAGCCAGGTCTGGCCCAGGCTAAATCCAGGAGCCAGGAACTCCACCCTCATTTCCCATGTAGATGGCAGGAACCCAAGTACTTGGGCCATCTTCCTCTGCTTTCCCAAGAGCATTAGCAGGAAGCTGGAGCAGAAGCAGTCCAGGATCCCCCATGGTGACTTAACCAGCTGTGCCACAACATCTGGCCCTCTTTTGTCTTTTTAATATCTATGATTTTTTTTTTGCTTTCAAATATTATTTATTTCCTTCAGTTGCTATGGCTTTTTTTTCCTCAGTAAACTTTTATTTAAGGAATGCAAACTTCATATATTTCACAAAAACAACTTTAGAAACATAGTAATTCTTCCCACCATACCTATACTGGCCCCCCTCTTCCTCCTCCCACTCCCACTCCTATTCCCATTCTTATTTTTTTTTATTAAGATCTATTTCACTCAATATTGTAACACATACGATTAACTCAGTACTAAGTAAGGAGTTCAACAAATAGTGTGGAAAAAAAGCTGTTCCTCTACAGTGGAGACAAGGGCTGTTCAAAGTTATTACATTTTTTTTTAAAGAATTTATTTACATGAGAGGTAGAGTTATAGACAAAGAGAGGTTGAGACAGAGAGAAAGTTCTTCCATCTGCTGGATTATTCCCCAATTGGCTGCAATAGCTGGAGCTGGGCCGACTCAAAATCAGGAGTCAGGAGCTTCTTCCGGGTCTCCCACATGGTTGCGGGGACCCAAGGACTTGGGCCATTTTCCACTGCTTTCCCAGGCCATAGCAGAGAGCTGGATGGGAAGTGGAGCAGCCAGGACTTGAACCGGTACCCATATGGGATGCTGGCATTGCAGGCAGAGGCTTAGCCCACTGCGCCACAGCACTCACCCCAAAAGTCATTACATTTCAAAGTGTCAATTTCACTTCTTTTAGGTGCTCTATTATCAGATCAGAGAGAACATAAGGTATTTGTCTTGTGGGTCTGGCTTATTTCACTATGTATGATATTTTTCCAGTTTCATCCATTTTGTTGCAAATGACAGGATTTCATTTTTTTCTTTACCTTTTAAGATTTATTTATTTATTTGAAAGTCAGAATCACACAGAGAGAGGAGAGGCAGAGAAAGAGAGAGAGAGGTTGGTCTTCCATCCAATGGTTCACTCCCCAATTGGCCGCAACAGCCTGAGCTGCGCTGATCTGAAGCCAGGAGCCAGGAGCTTCCTCTGGGTCTCCTATGCGAGTGCAAGGGCTCAAGGACCTAGGCTATCCTCTACTGCTTTCCCAGACCATAGCAGAGAGCTGGATCAGAAGCGGAGCAGCCAGGTCTTGAACCAGTGCCCATAGAGGATGCCAGCACTTCAGGCCAGGGCATTAACCCGCTACGCCACAGCGCCGGCTCCAGGATTTCATTTTTTTCTACCACTGTTTAGCATTCCATGGTGTACATATCCCATAATTTATCGAGCTTTCAGTTGACAGGCATTTGGGTTGAGATATCTACAATTTTTTTTTTTTTTTTTTTTTGACAGGCAGAGTGGACAGTGAGATAGAGACAGAGAGAAAGGTCTTCCTTTGCCATTGGTTCACCCTCCAATGGCTGCCGCGGCCGGCGCGCTGCGGCCGGCGCACCGTGCCTATCCGAAGGCAGGAGCCAGGTGCTTCTCCTGGTCTCCCATGGGGTGCAGGGCCCAAGCACTTGGGCCATCCTCCACTGCACTCCCTGGCCACAGCAGAGAGCTGGCCTGGAAGAGGGGCAACCAGGACAGAATCCGGTGCCCCGACCGGGACTAGAACCCGGTGTGCTGGCACCGCAAGGTGGAGGATTAGCCTAGTGAGCCGCGGAACTCAAGTAAGGTGGTATGTAGTTGTAGTTTTGATTTGTATTTACCTGATTATTAGTGATATATTGAACATTTGGCCTTTTGAATGTCTTTTTTTTTTTTTTTTTTGCCTGTGGTGATGTTTCTTATACAGGAAGAAAGAACTTTAAAATGTTCATGGAAAATGTACAAATTTTTGTATTCCCCTTCTGTCCCCATTTTCTAGCCCGTGACTGTTTTATCAGAGGGTGAACATTAATGATGTGTTTTCTTTGTTTGCTCTTTAAAATGGGATTTGAATGGGCCTTTGGATCTTTCTTGTTTGACCTGTATTGAGCAGTTTATTTTTTTTTTTTAATATTTATTTATTTGAAAGTCAGAGTTAGAGGAGAGGCAGAGAGAGAGAGAGAGAGAGTGGTCTTCCATCCATGGTTCACTTCCCAATTGGCTGCAACTGCTGGAGCTGTGCCAATCCAAAGCCAGGAGCTTCTTCCAGGTCTCCCACGTGGGTGCAGGGCACAAGGACTTGGGCCATCATCTACTGCTTTCCCAGGCCATAGCAGAGAGCTGGATTGGAAGTGGAGCAGCTGGGTCTTGAACCCGCACCCATATGGGATGCCGGTGCTTCAGGCCAGGGCATTAAGCCGCTGTGCTACAGCGCCAGCCCTGAGTGGTTTATTTTTGTTTACCTATTCTGCACAGTGTCTAGTCAGAAAATTCTAGGCCTTCCCCCCCACCTTTTTTTGTTGTTGTTGTTGTTGTTGTTGTTGTTAAAGATTTATTTATTTGAAAGGTGGAATTAGAGAAGGGCAAATTCAGAGAGAGAGAGAGAGGTTTTCCGTCCTCTGGTTCACTCCCCAAATGGCCACATGTGCTAAAGCTGGGCCCATCCAAAGCCAGGAACCAGGAGCTTCTTCTGGGTCTTCCACGTGGGTGCAGGTGTCCAAGGACTTGGACCATGTTCTACTGCTTTCCCAGGCTATAGCAGAGAACTGGATCAGAAGTGGAGCAGCTGGGACTTGAACTGACGCGCCCATAAGGGATGCTGGCACTGTAGGCGGTGGCTTTACCTCTAAGCCACAGCACTGGCCTCCTCTTTTTTTCTTTATATCATCTCTTCCACCAACCACACTGAAATCACTGGCGAATGTTAGTAGCTCTTTTGGCTTTTTTGACTTGCTATTTCACCTGGGGTAAGAAAGGTTGCTAGAGAGAGCGATTTCTGTTGTCTTTTTGGGAGTGAGAGTGCATTTAAGGGTTTTTCATAATATTGACTACTTACCTTTATCCTAATACTTGATTGAAGTGAAGTATGGGAGGTATTGGGGAAATTAAAAGGAAGAGCTCTGTGCTGAATATTGGAGCTTTTCAGTGTGACATAGTATCTGCCTTTAAATGAGAACGGTTATATGTCTACTACAGGTTGAACCTGTTTTCAGTACTGCTAACTTTTTTATAATTCTTCCTATTTAGCATTTTATTAGATATTGATACTGTGTAAACCTGAAACTACCTTGCCATTTTCTCCTGTCCACTTCAATCATTTTTGATTTTAAAAAATAGTATATCTTTATTGATGTTATTTAAAGTGAACAACTAGTGAGAATTACAATTCCCAGCGCATTGTTCCTGGCATGTAGCACACTGACAAACATATGCATTAATATATATTTACTGATTTAACATTTTATTGAATTACCATGGTGTTTTTTGTTCACATGGCAAGACTCCCAGGATAAAGTTTGTCAGCTGTTTTAGTAAACCAAGGAATACTTCTTTTCACCTTACATTATTAATTATTGAATAAAGTAGTACTCTACATATGAATTTTTAATTTGCTTATTTATTTGTCACAAAAGTTAACTGTTGTGGCTGGCCCTGTGACGTAGGGGGTAAAGCCATTGCCTGAAGTGTTGGCATCCCATATGGACGCTGGTTCAAGTCCTGGCTGCTCCACTTCTGATCCAATTCACTGCCAATGCACCTTGAAGGCAACAAAAGATGGCCCAAGTGCTTGGGTCCTTACACACAAGGAAGAACCAGATGAAGCTTCTGGCTCCTGACTTCTGACCAGCCCAACTTCGACCAATGCAACCATCCATTGCATTCGACCAATGCAACTTCGACCAATGCAAGCCATTTGGGGAATGAACCATCAGATGGAGGATCTCTCTGCCTCTTCCTATCTCTCTCTCTCTCTCTCTCTCTCTCTCTCTAACTCTACCTTTCAAATGAATAAATAAATCCTTTTATTTTTTTTTTAAAGTTACTGTAGAGGGGCCGGCGCTGTGATGCAGCAGGTTAACGCCCTGGCCTGAAGTGCCGGCGTCTCATTGGGTGCCAGTTCCAGTCCCAGCTGCTCCTCTTCCAACCCGGTTCTCTGCTGTGGCCTGGGATGGCAGTGGAGGATGGCCCAAGTCCTTGGGCCCCTGCACCCTCGTGGGAGACCTGGGGGAGGCTCCTGGCTCCTGGCTTCAGATTGGCACAGCTCCGGCCATTGCGGCCACCTGCAGAGTGGACCAGCAGATGGAAGACCTCTCTCTCTGTCTCTACCTCTCTCTGTAACTCTGTCTTTGAAATGAATAAAATAAATCTTAAAAAAAAAAGTTACTGTAGATAAATATGTTTAGTGTTTTTTTTTTTTTAAGATTTATTTATTTACTTGAAGATTAGAATTAGAGAGAAGGAAAGAGAGATCTTCCATCTGCTGGTTCACTCCCCCAATGGCCACAGTGACTGGGGCTGAAGCCAGAAGCTTCATTCAGGTCTTCCACTTTAGGTGCGGGGACCCAGGTACTTGGGCCATCTTCCACTGCTTTTTCCAGGCCATTAGCAGGGAGCTGGTCAGAAGTGGAGCAGCCGATACTCAAAATGACACCCACATTGGATGCCAGTGTGCCAGATGGTGGCTTTTTACCCACCATGCCACAACACTGGCCCCAAGATACTTAGGTCTTTTGAGCTGATTGCAATAGAATTTTCTATGATAAAAGAAAAATTGAAATGTCCCCAAATTAATTAAAAGGGCCAGAGGATGGAGGAGGGAAGAAGCAAATGAAGTTAATCAGTAACAGCTTTGCAAAAACCAGTAAGAGGATTGTTTATATTGAAACTATGACTTAAATCCCATCACAGCCAACCACAATCTTACTATAAACTTTTCTAACTATTAACCCAAACTAATCCAGAAACAAAATTTAGTTGTTATGGGCTGCACTTTTGAACAGAGCTTTATTTCCCCAGAGTTTATAAAATTACTCTTAGCTCTAGATCCAGGAGGCATTTTCCAATTGCTATGGAGCTGTGCTGTTAAAAGTTGTGGGAACTTGTTCCAGGACCTAGTTTTCTTTTTTTCTGGATAGCATCTATAATGGTTCAGTAAATCCTTTATTTCAGAGATCATGTAATCGTGGGAGATTTTGTTTCACTTAGGTTTTTTATATTTATGTGATGTCAAAAACTGGAGTACCTAGAAATTCAGTAATAAGAAACACTATAAATCTAGACTAGTAAATTCTAGACTTCTAGGATTGAAAGATTTTATATACTGGTATTTACCAAGTATTACTGAATGCAACTAAATGGTTTCTCTTTTAGAATCTTGATTTGCAGGTGTGGGAAATAATATTCATATGTAAGAAACAAAGTTTAAGACCTCACATGTTCAACATACAGTATGTTTTGAAAATCCCAAGTAGCATTACATTTTTAAAAAACAAAAATGAATATTATTTAATTTTTCACTTGAGAATTTTTCAGCTACAATCTTGTGATTGAAATGTTCTGGAGGGCCAGTGCCGCGGCTCACTAGGCTAATCCTCCACCTTGCAGCGCTGGCACACCGGGTTCTAGTCCCGGTTCGGGGTGCCGGATTCTGTCCCAGTTGCCCCTCTTCCAGGCCAGCTCTCTGCTGTGGCCAGGGAGTGCAGTGGAGGATGGCCCAGGTGCTTGGGCCCTGCACCCCATGGGAGACTAGGAGAAGCACCTGGCTCCTGCCATCGGATCAGCGTGGTGCGCGGCCTCAGCGCACCAGCTGCGGCAGCCATTGGAGGGTGAACCAAAGGAAGACCTTTCTCTCTGTCTCTCTCAATCTGTCCACTCTGCCTGTCAAAAAAAAAAAAAAAAAAAAAAGGAAAAGAAATGAAATGTTCTGGAGTGTAACAAAGACAAGATTGGAGATGATTTAAATAACTGAATGGATTTTTCAGGTTTCATTAGGATAGATCGTTGCAGCTATTACTTTAAAAATTAAGTGCCTAAAGAGGAAAACCATATTTATGAAATTATTTTATAAACTAATATAGTGCCATATGCAGGTGTGATTTAATGCGTTTTGATGCAAATAGTAGATTGGAACCTTCTATATATGATGTTCAAGTAAATTTCAAGAACAAATATTCAGGCTGGCGCTGCGGCTCACTAGGCTAATCCTCCACCTAGCGGTGCCTGCACACCGGGTTCTGGTCCCGGTTGGGGTGCCGGATTCTTTCCCGGTTGCCCTCTTCCAGGCCAACTCTCTGCTGTGGCTCGGGAAGGCAGTGGAGGATGGCCCACATGGGAGACCAGGAGAAGCACCTGCGTTCGGATCAGCGCGGTGCGCCGGCCGCGGTGCGCCAGCCGTGGCGGCCATTGGAGGGTGAACCAATGGCAAAAGGAAGACCTTTCTCTGTCTCTCTCTCTCTCTCTCTCTCTCTCTCACTGTCCACTCTGCCTGTCAAAAAAAAAAAAAAAAAAAACAAATATTCAGAATTAAATTCTTAGATCTTATTAGTTACATAATTTGGTGAATGCTGCTTTTTTTTTTTTAAAGAAAAGTAACTTTAAAGACCAAACTTGGTCATCTATTGAAAAATAATAAAAATGTGACTAAACACAAATTATAGTCTGATTTGTGAGCTAAAGCTTATTCTGTGTTATTGTGAGTCAGTTAAACATTTTAGTATAATATTATGGAAAACAAATAAATTTTAACAACTTTTCTTTTGCAGCGGAGCATAGTAAACTTTGATTTTCACATTGAGCTACAGGTTTCTATGAGGCCCTATTGAAGTTCTATTCTGAAGTTCGCTTAAGTGAATTTCCTGTTACAGGAACTTGGTTATTACTATATTTCCAAGATGATTGCAACACCTTTGAAACATCCAGGAATTCAGTTGCCTTCAGAGACATCTTTTCAGAGGAAAAATATGCCCATGGATGCAATCTTTTTTGACAACATTCCTTCAGGCACACTTACTCCTGTGAAAGATTTGGTGAAATATCAGAACTCTACTTTAAAATTGAATGACCATGAAAAGAATCATTTCCCACAAAGGAAAACTTTTAACAATAAAAATATATTTCAGTCTACCTTGCTAGCAGAGGCTACTATCTCTAACAATTCTCTTAATATCAGTGCTATCAAGCCCAACAAGGATGGATTTAAAAATAAAGCAAACTATGAATCACCAGGAAAAATATTTCAAAGAATGAAAGAAAAGGTTCTACGTAACAAACTAGAACAGACATCAAGAGACAGTAGTTTGCTGGATCAATTGAGCAGTGAGAGTACTAAAACCTTCGCTCTTAACAGACATGAAAAAAGACAGTTGCAGCATACCTACCTCTGTGAAGAAAAGGAAAACAAATCATATAACAATTCAGTAAAAGGTAAGTTTTATCAAGGTGTTGGCTAATAAGCTATGTCTTAACTATTCAATGTGTCAGATACTCTTAAGTGCTCAGGATACCACAGTGAACAAAAATTTCTGCCCCTTTATAGTTCACATTCAGGTAGTGGGTAGACAAAATTAACATTTAAATAAGAACTTTTTGGTACAATATAAGATGAAAAACAGAAAGGGAAGATGGTTAAAATAAGAGAGGGCTATAATTTTCAACGGGATTGTCAGGGAAAGCATCAATGAGAAGATGGCATTTGAGCCCCCAAATCCGAAGGAACTGGTAGATACATGTATCCTGGGCAGTGGGGAAGAATGATTCAGACAGGTAACAGGTAATACAAATGCCCTGAATTGGAGCATGTCTGACAGATTCAAAGACTACCTATGAGGTTAGTGTTCACGAAGTGAACAATGTCCAGGAGAAAGGGATAACTAAGAGATGGTCAGATAATGAAGGACCTTGTAAGTAAATGTAAGGATTTTGTATTTAACTTTGAGCAAAATAAGGAACCATTGGAGGATTTTGAGCAGAGGAATAACAAGGTCTGACTTAAGATTTAAAAAAATAACTCACTGCTGATTTGAAATAGTTACTACAATAATCTGGATGTTGGTTTGAGGTAGTAGCAGTGAAGATTAAGTGGTTGGATTCTGGATATAATTTGAAAGAATGAATAATATTGGCTCACAATTGAATGTGAACTATAAGAGAAGAAAAAGACAAATATTAACTCCGGGGTATTATTTTTAGTTTAGTCTTTGTTTTTTTGCCTTAGACCTGAGCAGCTGAATGGATGATTTAGCTGAAAGAGAAAGACTGGAGGAAAGGTGATTGGAGGGAGCTCCTTAAGTGTTTTTTGTCCTATTACTTTTGATATGTTAATTAAGTCCTGGAATTTAGAGAAGTGCATTTTAGGAATCATTAGCACCTAAATGGTATTTCTAGTTACCAGAGTAGTTGAGATAATTAAGGTGTAAAAGTAGAAAAAGGAAATGTTCCTAGTGGGACTTGGATGGCAGGCATGTGACCTAGCAGTTGAAAAGCCTTCTTCACACAGCAGATTGAATACCAGTTTCAGCTCCTGATTTTAACCAGCTTCCTGCTAATACAGAGGCTGACCTGGATTGAGTTCCTGGTTCCTATTCAGCCTGGTTCAGTTCCTGTTGTTGTGGGTATTTGGGGAGTGAACCAGCGATGGGAGAGAATTCTCTCTCCCTGTATTCTCAAATAAATTAATAATTAAAAGAGAATGTTTATGTCCTGGGCACTCCAACATTTAGAAGTTGTAATAAAGAATAGAAAGGACACTCAAGTAGAAGGCCACCCAGGAGATGATGGATAAAAAGGGAAATCACGAAGAGTGATACTGTAGAAAGCAAGAGAGCAGAGTGCTTTAAGGAGAGAGTTACCAGCTGTGTCTAATGCTGCTAGTAGGTCAAGGAGCAGAGAAATTCAGTCCTTAGGGCTCAATAGATTAATTGCATGATACGCCCACATCCCATGTTGGAATGTCTGGATTGAGTCCTGACTACTCCAGGCTCATTCAGGTTCTCTGTGTAACTCTGACCTTCAAATAAATAAATAAATCTTAAAATAAAAGAATGTATGAAGAAATGAGCAGTTGAACCATGACTTTTTCTCAGGGTGATGAAGAAAAATATGGAAAGTTGTGGTTAAAGATTTTATTGTTTGAGAAATAACAGCATTTTTTGTGTGCTGTTGGGAATAATCTAGTAGGAAGGTAAAAACTCAAGAGTTAGTATGATGCCCTTGAGTAGTTGAGAGGGAATGATGGAGTCTAGTGCATAAATTGTCCTTGGCTAGGAACCCAAACAACTTATTAAAAAGAAAGAAGACAATGTATATACATACAAATACTGATGGGTTATTGTTATGTGACTTCAAAATAATCTGAAATAAGTAGTAAGATCATCAACTAAGAGTAAGGGAAACAGACATTTAAGCTTGACAAAGTGGACATTAATAGTGTATGAGAGGGGTGGCACCATGGCTCACTTGGTTGTTCCTCCGCCTGCGGTGCTGGCATCCCATATGGGCGCCGGTTCTAGTCCCAGTTGCTCCTCTTCTGATCCAGCTCTCTGCTGTGGCCTGGGAAAGCAGTGGAAGATGGCCCGAGTGCTTGGGCCCCTGCATCCATGTGGGAGACCAGGAAGAAGCACCTGGCTTCGGATTGGCGCAGTGCCCACCGTGGCGGCCATTTGGAGAGTGAACCAACGGAAGGAAGACCTTTCTCTCTGTCTCTGTCTCTCTCTCTCTCTCTCTCTCTCTGTCTATAACTACCTGTCAAATTAATTAATTAATAAAATTAATTTTAAAAAATAGTGTATGAGAGGAAAATAGTAAGTCATCTAGGCCTAAATTTTATTTTCTAGTTAATATTAAAGAGTTATTTGAGATTTATGGGCATGCATTTAAAATGGGATCAGTAAATATAATTGTTTTTTTCCAATCTTATCTAACTGGGTTGTAATTTTGCCAAAAAGGATAGAGGATGGAGTGGTATGAAGGGCAAAGGAGTTGAGGTGAGAATGTGTGCAAGGAATGACTATAACTAACCATGAAATTTAAGTTGGTTAGGGTGAAGGAGATTAAGAAGTATAAAGGGTCAGTCTTATTAGACTAGTCAGTGGACTAAAAAAAAAAAAAGCGTGTGTGTGTGTGTGTGTTTGAAAGGGAGAGCAAGAGAGAGAATGAAGTCTTCTATCTGTGGTTCACTTCCCAATTGGCTGCAAAACACGGGTGGGCTAGATTAAAACCAGGAGCTGTGAACTGCTGTAACACTGTCGACTAGTTAGTGGTTTTGATCTGTAAAGATGTAAAGTGATCAGAAATTGAGATGTAAAAATTGAGATTTTGATGCATTTCAGTAATTGATAATAAAATATTTTATATGAATTACTCCCATGTAGTCTTTTGAGCAAGCAATATGGATAGAGGCTTATAATTTATTTTATTATTTAAAGATTTATTTGTTGAAAGGTGGGAGTTGGGGAGGGTAAGAGGTGGCGGGACGGGTATCTTCTGTCCACTGGTTCACTTCCCTGATGGCTGCAACAGCCAAATCTGGGTCAGACCAAAGCCAAGATCTAGGAACTCCATTCAGGTCTCCCATGTGGGTAGCAGGGGCCCAATTACTTGGGTCATCTGCTACTTTTTCTGGCACTTTAGCAGGGAGCTAGATCAAAAGTGGAACAGCCAATAGTCAAATCAGCACACTAATATGGAAGGCAGCTATGCTCACCACTATGCCACCAATGCACACAGCATTTTTTTTTCTCTTGAACCGGCGCCATATGGGATGCCAGTGCTTCAGGCCAGGTCGTTAACCTGCTGTGCCACAGTGCCTGCCCTGCACACAGCATTCTAATATGGGATACTGGTGTTGCAAGCAGCAGCTTAACCTACTATGTTGGCCTCAAGGTTCACATTAATGGTCTGTAAATAGAGCTTTTATGAAGAGGATGAGTCTGCTGTAAATCTGATAGGTAATAAGTGACAAGCTGAGAATTCAAAACAGATAGACATATTTGAAAGCCCATCGTGAGTGTGTTGTTACATTTCTATAACAGTTACATATTCTGACACAGAAAGCAGAGTTTTCTAAGGGAGTTTGGGATAGCACTGAGGGAATATACAAAGGAATTTGCTTGGGATAAAAGGGAAAAGCAAATGAATAATGCATTCTAAAGAATGGTTTATGTATAAGGTGGTATTTGAGAGAGGAATGAATACCTGACTGCTTTGAAAATCTAATGAGTCTTTCCAGAAAAGGCAAGCAAATTTTAGAGACCTTTGGAGAGTCTTGCATGGACTTTGGACTTCCAAATGACTGTTTTGTACAATTACCTACTGATCTTTCCTACATTGTTCTGTCATTTCCAGTAGAAAAAGTTTAAAAAAAAAAATAGAAACTTGGAGCCAGCACTGTGGCATGGCAGGTAAACCACTGCCTTTCAGTAGTAGCATCCCGTACAGGTGTGGGTTTGTGTCCTTGTGGGGAGCAACTCGGACTAGACTGTTACTGGAATTAAGACTTATTCTATGCATCTGCTCTCCCACAATATGGCGCTGGGAGAGGAGGATACAGCTTCTACACAGCTGCCTCCAGTTCAACCAATAAACTGTAGGACCTGCTCCTGATTGGAGGAGAGCAGCGTACTCGGCGTGTGGGTAGCAGAGTTGGGATTGGTAGAAGAGGACTATAAAGGAGGAGAGAGACAACATGCACCAGGAACATCTAAAGGGAACACCTGAGCAGCCCCCGAGAGAGCCGGCCGGCAGTGTGCCGCTCCCCCGCGGAAGTGGGGAAAGTGGCAGGGGGAACCGCCCTTCCACGGAGGTGGAAGGGTCGGTAGCCAACCTGGGAAGAACCAGCAGCAAACCTGGGGAGGGCCGAGCAGACAAAAGAACAGCGCAGGGCCCTGTGTCATTCCTCCACGAAGAGGGGGAGCGACATGTCCTGGTTCCTCCACTTCCAATCCAACTTCCTGCTAATGTGCCTGGAAAAGCAGCAGAAGATGGCCCAAGTCCTTGGGCTCCTGCACCCACATGGGAGACCCAGAAGAAGCTCCTGGCTCCTGACTTCGGACTGGCCCAGCCCTGGCCATTGCAGCCATTTGGGAAGTGAACCAATGGATGGAAGATCTTTTCTTTCTCTCTTGGTCTCTCTATAAGTCTACCTTTCAAGTAAATAAAATCTTTAAAAAATAGAAACTTACCACTTCCTTCTATGATACATCATTATGATAAAAAAATTTTTTTAAAGATTTATTTATTTATCCTAGAAGTAGAATTACAGAGAGAGGGAGAGACAGAGATCTTCCATCCACTGGTTCACTCCTCAAATGGCTGCAATGGCCAGAGCTGGGCCAATCCAAAACCAGGAACCAGGAACTTCTTCTGGGTCTCCCACATGGGTGCAGGGGCCCAAGCACCGGCAGGGAACTGGATCAGAAGTGGAACAGCCAGGACTTGATTTGGCACCCATATGGGATGCCAGTGCTGCAGGCAGAGGCCTAATCCACTACACTAGAGTTCTAGCCCCTAAAATCTTTCTATCATGATTTCTAAGGCCAAAGTGGCAAACTTACTGCCAGGTTTTTTTGTTTGTTTGTTTTGAGTATAAGATTTGAAATTAAGCATATAAAATAATTCCATTTTTCCTTCTTTACACAGATTTTAAGTCTGTCATCTAATTTGTATGTCAAAGAAAGTGAGTTCTGTGTTCAAGAAATGCTGAACTTTAAAAATCTTGAATATAAAGCAGAATAAAATATAAGCAATTCTATTCTTATTTTTAAACTGATAAATCTACTTTGGTCCTTTTAAGAGCTTACCAAAGAGATAGTTAAGGCATATCAATTATGATTGAGTCTCAACATCTAATGAGTAAGCTACAACACTTCAAATAGTTTTTTTTTTTTTTTAATATCTTAGAAATTTACAGAGCAGGGGTTTCAAGGCTGGGTACTATTTTTATGTAACCTTAATATAATACATGTCCAATTTTGTCAGCACTAGAATTTCATTCCAAACCTTCAAGCTTCTAAGGCTTTTTTCTAGAGCTGGCAAATTTAACTTGGAGAAGTTTTTTCAGAAATCATCCTCAGTACAATTTTAAAAATTCTTCAGTATAGCACAAATTCTATTCCTACTAAAATAGAGAATGAGATAAAAGGATGAGAAAGTAATAAAGGTAAAAATTTTTATTACTCTCATGTTGCAAAAGCACATTATAGTGGTCTGATCATTACTATATCTAAGTATCTTTATTTCATGATATTCAAATGATAGTTTTGGGAACAGCATCATGGCATAGTGGGTTAAGCTGCCACCTGCAACACTGGTACCCCACGTGGGCACCACCAGTTCAAGTCCCAGCTGCTGTACTTCTGACCCAGCTCCCTGCTAGTCTGCCTGGGAAAGCGGCAGATGGCCTTCCAGGCCTTCAGGAGACCTGGAAGAAGCTTCTGGTTCCTAGTTTCTACCTGGCCTAGCTGTAGCTGTTGAGGCCATTTGGGGAGTGAACCAGTGGATGGAAGATTGATCTCTCTCTCTCTCTCTTTTTCTTTCTGCCTCTGTAACTCTGCCTTTCAAATAAATAATAAATCTTCAAAAGAAAAAGACTATATCTGCTAAAAAAGAATAAATAAAATGACAGGTTTTTCTTCTCTGTGCCTAATTCAATTTTTGAAAAAATCTCAACCTCTAGAGTCATCAGAATTCCCTCTGGTAAAGCAAAAGATTCAACACCAGGAGGTAAAGAAAGCAGTGCAGCACAATTTAACTTACGGTAAACTTTTGATTTTGTTTTGCTTTTAAGTTTGTTACTTGAATGTGTTGTTAGATGTTCTAGGTAATTATATTCCCTGGGTAGATATTAAGCATTGACTGTGGACAAAAGCTTCGACTGTAAAGTTTAGAGGCACTCAGAGAAAGACTGGGCAGGAGGGTGAAGTGTTATCTGAAGATTTTTTTTTATATTGAACAGGTTTTTTTTTTAAGATTTTTATTTATTTATTTGAGAAGTAGAGTTACAGGCAGTGAGAGGGAGAGACAGAAAGGTCTTCCTTCCATTGGTTCACTCCCCAGATGGCCACAATGGCTGGAGCTGCGCCAGTCTGAAGCCAGGAGTTAGGTGCTTCTTTCTGGTCTCCCATGCGGGTGCAGGGGCCCAAGCACTTGGGCCATCCCCTACTGCTTTCCCTGGCTATAGCAGAGAGCTGGAGTGGAAGAGGGGCAGCTGGGACTAGAACCAGTGCCCCATATGGGATGCCAGCACCTCAGGTGGAAGATTAACTTACTGCGCCACGGCACTGCCCCAATATATTGAACAGTTTTAATTGACTCCTTTTTTGTTCTTTTATTGCATATGGTCGTTCTATAAATTTTGTTTTGTTTTGCATGTTTTGCAGAATTTCCAGTTCTGAACCAAGAACAAGAAAATATTTCAACTACAAAAGTCTCAAACCAGGCATTATTCAGAGCTCAGTTGACTGAACAAATTCTTCACCCCAGGGAGAATACGATTGCAACCACTCAATCCAAAAAGGACACTTTTGTTATAGAGAACAGTGAGTCAGCCTGTGAAAAATTCCAAAATACTAATACTGAGACTCTTAGTACAAATTGTGTTCCTACTAAGAATGGCAGTCAATTAATGGTTACTGATAGTGAGATGACAACAGAAGGAACTTCACAAGAAGAAATTAAGGACAAAAATGAAAAAACAGTGCCCAGAGAGATTGATCTTATAGATTCCATGAAAGATACATGTAAAATTATATTGGCAAGTCCAAGACTTCATGTAACAATACCTCGAAGGTCAAAAAGAAATGTTTCCAAGCTTTCTCCTCCAAATGTGTTTGAAGCAGTTACGGATGAAGTTAAAAAAACTCAGGTGGGAAAACTTTTAATGTAGATATTTTTCTCCATGTTATTGAAGAGCTTAAGCTCTTATATTCTGACATTGTTGATGGTAACTTCATGTTTTGTTCTTTACTGTACCAGCATTGTGGCCCAGTGAAAATAACTGGGCTAGAAGTAAGAAGATCCAGGTGTTAAAATTTTTTTTGTTGTATTAGGAACTGTGGAGTTTCTAACAATTATGTCTTGTGTGGCATGAACATTGAATTCATTCCTGATTTTTATTGTTTTTCTTTTTGCCCTGATCCTTGGGGCACTTACTATTTTTTTTTAAGATTTATTTATTTATTTGAAAGGCACAATATCAGAGGGAGAGATAGATATCTTCCATCTGCTGGTTTACTCTCCATATGACCTGCAGCAGCCAGGGCTTGACTGGGGCCCAAGCCAGGAGCTGGGAACTCCGTTCTGCCCCCCACTCACCATTTGAGTAACAGGGGCCTATGCACTTGGGCCATCATCTGTTGTCTTCCTAGGTACCTTAATAGGAAGCAGCATCAGAAGCAGAGTAGCTGAGACTTGAACTGGCGTTCCACTATAGGGTTTTATCATCACAAGCAGCAGCTTAACCTATTGCACCGCAACACTGGTCCTTGGGGTACTTGGTATTAATAGAACAATTGAAATAGAAACAAATTATATCATCTGAAGATTTGAAAATTTTCCAAGTGTAAAGTAATACAGGATGCTCAGTAAGATTTTAGAGCTTAGTTACATTAGGATAAATTCTCTGAAGAAGTAGAATGGAAATATAAATAAGCTAATAAGTTCAAAGAGAAAGGTAAAATTTCCAATTATTACAAGTTTGTCCATTGATTTTTAAATGAATAATGATGGATAGCATTGAGATTTCATCTAAATTTGAAATAGTGATATAACAACTATAGTTTTGTGTCAATATATTTGCTAGAAATTATAATGTTTGCAAATACATAAACTTGTGATGAAAAATTTTAGACATTGACTTAAAAATGGTTGAACAAGGCCGGAGCCGCGGCTCACTAGGCTAATCCTCCGCCTTGCGGCGCCGGCACACCAGGTTCTAGTCCCGGTCGGGGCGCCGGATTCTGTCCCCGTTGCCCCTCTTCCAGGCCAGCTCTCTGCTGTGGCCAGGGAGTGCAGTGGAGGATGGCCCAAGTGCTTGGGCCCTGCACCCCATGGGAGACCAGGATAAGTACCTGGCTCCTGCCATCGGATCAGCGCAGTGCGCCGGCCGCAGCACGCCAGCCGCGGCACACCGGCCGCGGCGGCCATTGGAGGGTGAACCAACTGCAAAGGAAGACCTTTCTCTCTGTCTCTCTCTCATTGTCCACTCTGCCTGTCCAAAAAAAAAAAAAAAAAAAAAGGTTGAACAAGAAAGTTTGAGGACAGCTACTCTAAGGGACACCACAGTAGTTGCTATAAGAATTCTAAGCTTCTCAAGCAGGACTGTTATCCCTATGTACTCATAGTTCTATAAAGCCCCTAATTCTGACTCATTCTCTTACTCATCTGCAATTCTCCAGATATTGCATTGGTACTTTCTTGAGCTATGTAAATGTTATGACTGCTATTACCTGTCTTCTCTCAACATTTCTTAACTTTGCTCTAACTAAAATATGACTTCCACAAACAGCTGATTAAAGAGGTGGCTCTTTTTCTTCCATACCCAACATTCTGTTTGACCTGGAGATGATATAAGGTATGTTTGTCTTGCTCCTCATTGCTCCATGGGCCATTCTTTTTTCTTTCCTGCTGGAGCTGTTTTGAAGTACATACTGTAATATTTAATCCCTCTTTATCCCTTCTTGTTAAGTTTACTTATAGTTAACTTAAACTCCTAGTCTTATAGTAAACACAAATTCCTGGTCATGATTTTGCATTCCTTTTGAAGTGCTTGACACCTGTTAATTTTTCTGCTTCTATTGTCTCCTGCCATCTCTGGTGATAACAGCATCCATACAGATGATCCATCAGGCGTCTTTGATTTCTTCCTCTTTACTGACTTTTCTCCTACCTTTACCTTCCATACCGGTCATGCCCATACCTTGTTTTTACCAGTACATGTACCGAAGTTTTAAGCATCCTATTCTTCACTACTGACTCCTGTCTTCTTCCATCTCTCAATATCAGTACTCTGACCTCCATTAAGGTAGACTTCCATCCATCAACTCTGACATGATCTCATTTCTCTCTTTACCATATGTCTATTCTGTGATTTGTTATAACTACTATAGGTTTTAACTCTCAATTCTCTCTTTCTGTTCTCAACCAAAAAAGTCCTAACCATGATTTAATTTAAACTCTTCTTTTGCTGTGTGCCTGTGCTAGAGAGCTGAACGTGGCTGGAGCAAAATACTGTTGTGCTGGGACTGACGTTGTTGTATAGCAGATTAAACCTCTGCCTGCCATATCAGTATCCCATATGGCCCGGTTCAAGACCCACCTGCTCTACTTTCTATCCAGCTCCCTGCTAATGCTCCTGGGAAAGCAGTGAAAGATGGCCCAAGTGCTTGGGGCCCTGCTACCCACTTGGGAGACATGGAAGAAGCTCTGGTCTCCTTACATTAGCTTGACCCAGCCCTGGCCATTGTGACCATTTAGGGAGTGAACCAGCAGATGGAAGATCCATCTCTTTCTCTCTCTGTTTCTCCATCCTTCTCTGTCTGTAACTGCCTTCCAAAAAAAAAAAAACAGTCGTGCTGACTGGTCTCATTTTAAACTTGACTGCACATCTTACTTAAGTGGCCTCTCAATATTGCTCGTTAGTCTTATTATATATCATTTGACCATTCTGACTTTTTCAGAAGAGTACTTAATATTTTTTCTCTCCTGAGACCTCTAAGCTTCTTCTCTTCTCATTCTCAATTCATTGAAAACCTCAAGGGGCTGGCATTGTGTTATAGCAGGTAAAGCTGTTGCTTGTGATGCTGGCATCCCATAATGACGCCTGTTCGGATCCCAGCTGTTCCATTTCTGGTCCAGCTCCCTGCTAATGTACCTGGGAAGGCAGCCGAGGATGGCCCAAGTCATTGGGCCCCCATACCCTGAAGATACTCCTGGCTCCTAGCTTCAGTCTGGTCCAGCCTTCAATGTTGTTGCCATTTGGGTAGTGAACCATCAGTTGGAAGATATCTCTCTCTGTCTCCCTCTCTTTGTCTGTCTGTCTCTCGCTTTCTCCCCCTCTCTTTAACTCTGCCTTTCAAATAAATAAAAATAAATCTTTTTTAAAAAAGATCTCAATCCCATTACTAATCTACCAATATTCCTACTACTATGTCCACATATTCTGTTTTTCTTCCTATTAAAATAGATGAACAGATTACAATCACATTCCTCCACCACCACCCCTTTTTTGGAAAGAGGCACTTAAAACCTTTTTCTTTTTCTTTTTCTTTTTTTTTTTTTAAGATTTTAGTTTCATTTGAAAGAGTGGCATTTCACTCCCCAAATAGCCACAGTGGCCGGGGCTGGGCCATCATGAAGCCACGAACCTAAAACTTCACATGGGTCTCCCACATGGGTAAAAGGCCCAAGTACTTGGGCCATCTTCTGCTGCCTTCCCAGGCACATTAGCAGGGAGTTTGGACCAGAAGCAGAGCAGCTGGGACTTGAACTAGCACCCCAAATGGGATGCTGTCTTGCAGGCAGAAGTTCAACCCTCTGTGCCATGGTGCCAACCCTTTTCCCCTTTTCAGGACCATTCATTTCCTCTTATCACCTAGAGGACATTGTTCTTGGAATTCTCTCTTCCATTTTTTCCTTTCTTCTGGGTCATTCCCATTAGCATGTAAACATGGTGGACCATAGCATTTGTTTGTTGAATGAATAATTAATATTTTGATACTTTGAATATGCAGTATAATATACAGTACCCTATAGCTTATACTCTCAGATTTATAACTCATCCACTAAGTAGCTGTGTGGGAAATGGGCAAGTTATATTTTAACTTTTCAGTTTACTTATCTGTTAAATGAAGGTAACAGAAGCCAACATTGTGGTGTAGTGGGTAAAGCCACCACCTGCAACACTGGCATCCCATATGTGCACTGGTTCTAGTTCTTGCTGCTCCACTTCCCGTCCAGCTCCTTGCTAAAAAATGTGTCTGAGAAAGCAGCAGAAGACGGTCCAAGTCTTTGAGATCCCTACACCCACACAGGAGAACTGGAAGAAGCTCCTGGCTCCTGGCTTTGGATTGGCCTACCTCCAGCCGTTGCAGCCATTTGGGGAGTGAAACAGTGGATGGAAGATCTCTCTGTCTCCCCCTCTCTCTTTCTCTCTAACTCTGCCTTTCAAATAAATAAATAAATAAATCCTGGTGTTAGGAAGATAATATGAGTCAGTGCATCTAAGGTACTTGCAGCACTGCCTAGTGTTAGTTTTTATTTTAATATCTCCATTTTACTGGTGCTTTGATGTATCTCAGTTCCAAATGTAGGAAGTATGACCAAAAAAAGGAGTGTTATTTACTGCCTTTTCCCAAAATCTTACCTATAATTTTTAAATCAACATTATTGAGAAGTGCAGTAACAAAGACCACTTCCTCATTTTAGTATCTTTCCTGGCTCAGTATAAAACTACAGCTGTACAATTTGTGTTTATATATACTTGGATAAAGTAAATGGCTGCTCAAATTGGTTATTCCATTAATTTGGCTTTATTTCTCATCCAAAGTAAGTCAATCTTCATATAAAATATAAACTTTCTATACAAATGTCATTAAAAAGTTTTCTTTTTTAAAGATATTTTGCTTGTTTTGAAATAGGGAGGTTTTAGAGGTAATCAGATGTTTGCTGTGGAGTAGAATGCCATGAAATACAGATTTAACAGTCACTTATATACTTTATAGAATGTTGAAATGCAGCTCTAAATCAGCTTTACGAAAAATTAATTTGGGGGGCAAGTATAATAGTGTATGATATAATTGACTCTTTTTTCTAAGTTCCTGGGTGTTTTGCAGGGCTTGGTGTTTACTTTAAAAAAATATATAATTAATTTTGAGAGGCAGAGACAAAGGGCTTCTATTTTTTGACTCACTTCCTAAATGTCTGCAATGATCAGGGCTAGACTGGGGCCAAAGCCAGGAACCAGGAATTCACTCTAGGATCCCCACCAGCTATGATAAGTTACCTCACAGGGTCTTCATCACCTAGAAGCTGGATTTAGGAGCTAGAGCTGGGAACTGAACTAGGCACTCCAATATGAGACATAGGTGTCTTAACTGCTAGGCCAAATATTTACCTTAGGACTTGTGTCATAATATATACCTTGGAATTGTAAATGATTTTTTTCCAGTGTTGAGATATTTGATATGAAAATACCTGAAGTATAGTTAGCTTGTCAGTTCAGTCTCTTTATCTTGTTAGTTTGATTATACATGATTGTTATCTATTGCTACTCAAAACAGAATGTGATTGTTACATAATGGGCACTAAGGAGTCACTTGAATTACTTAGATGAGTTTTTTAATTCAGTGCAAATTATTTTTATAATGCTAATACTATAAGTAATACTGAAATACTTTGTTTTATGCTTAATTAGGTAATCCAGCTGCAAGAATGGATGATTAAAGTCATCAATAATAATACTGCTATATGTGTAGAAGGAAAATTGATGTAAGTATAGCATTTCATATATTGTTTAATAAAAACTTAACATCATTTCGTGCGAGAGTGTAAAAGCATCTTCCTATAAAACAAAGACTTTAATAAGGTTATAAACTTAGACAAAAAAGTAAAATGAATATATGTAGATCATTGCCATGTTGACTGTACCAGCTTTCTTGTATTTGCCTGTTATTGTTTAGATATTGAAAGCTCAAATTTGTATACTGCATCTTTTTTTCCTGAAGTGCTAATAAGTAGACTGGTATTATCTGCCTAATTGCATGTAATCAGTTAATATTTGCTACATGTATTTCAGTTCATATTCTCACATCTAAATCAAGACAACCAGATTTTTAAATTACTGATCCAGAAAAGGAATCAAAATTATTATTTTTTTAAAGTTATTTATTTATCTGAGAGACAGAATTACAGACAGCGTTAAAGACAGAGTTTGTTCTTCCATCTGTTGGTTCACTCCCCAAATGACTGCAACAGCTGGAGCTGTGCCAATCCAAAGCCAGGAGACAGTAGCTTGTTCCTGGTCTCCCACATGGGTGCTGGGTCCCAAGCACCTGAGCCATCTGCTGCTTTCCCAGGCCATTAGCAGGGAGCTGGATTGGAAGTAGAGCAGCCAGGACTTGAACCGGCATCCATATGGGATGCAGACACCCAGGCAAAAACTTAACCTACTATGCCACAGCTCTGGCCCCAAAAATCAAAATTATTTAAATCTTTGCCTTACAACTATGTATTAAGTAATCATTGGCACTTTCTGGTTTTCCCTAAGTGAGAGCATCATCAGCTAAGTGGCCTAGTGTTGTTATTCTATTAGCAACATTTCCTATTCTTCGGCCAATTTCTCAGTGTTAAAAAAGTTATAATAACATAAGATAAAACCATTTAAATTACTTACATGGAAGTTTATAAGTTGAGTATATAAAAATCTTTTCTGTCCACTCTTTATGCTTGCCTTGTACCCATTTCTTTTTTTTGAAAAATATTTATTTATTTGAAAGAGAGCTAGGAAGAGAAAGAGAGATATTCCATCTGTTGGTTCACTGCAACAGCAAGCAGTGGGCCAGGCTGAAGCTGGGAGCCAGGTCCCCCACATGGGTGGCAGAGGTCCAAACACTTGGACCATCTTCCGTTTCTTTTCCCAGCTACTATCAGAGAGCTGAATCAGAAGTGGGATCAGACCAGGACACAATCCAACCAGTGTCGCAGGTGGTGGCTTAACCCAGTATGCCACAGTGCCAGCTCCCATGCCCGTTTCCTTAATATCCAATTTGCATTGTAGATTCCCTTTGTATGCACTCCATTATTGCCACTTATTACCTATATCACTTGGGCAAATTACTTACCCTATTTCAGCCTCAGTTTCTTCATCTGTACCATGATGATAACAGTATTATTAGGGCCAGCGCTGTGGCATAGCAGGTAAAGCTGCTTCCTGCAGTGCTGGCATCCCATATGGCACTGGTTCAAGTCCTAGCTGCTCCACTTCCAGTTTTGCTCTCTGCTATGGCCTGGGAAAGCAGTAGAAGATGGCCCAAGTTTTTAGGCCCCCTGCACCTGCATGGGAGACCTGGAAGAATCTTAGGGCTCCTGCCTCAGATCGGCACAGCTCCAAACATTGCAGCCATCTGAGGAGTGAACCAGCAGATGGAAGACCTCTCTCTCTCTGCCTCTCTGTAACTTGGCCTTTCAAAAAAATAAACTTTTAAAAAAAAAGTTACATACATATGGATTGTATTGAAGATTAAATGAATTCATATTTGTAACATTAGAGAACAGTGCTTTTAGAGTATTATTTAAATGTCTGCTAAAGCAGAAAAGAGTGGAAGAGAAGTAATATTGTAAGGTATAATGTATGAGTTTAATCTCATTTGGTCAAATTAAAGGAACTTAGCTTCCTTATTTATTATAATCACTGTTTATTAATTTGTTATTTGATCCAGCAGTTGTCTAGTAGATCTTCATATTCTTTCTATTTTATATTCTTAGATTTAATTTAGAAATTTGAAGAGTACATAATAGTTCAGTGATTTGATACTGTGTTTTATTACATCTGGGACATCTATAGAAGCTGGTGCTGTGGCGGAACAGGTAAAGCCACGGCCTACAGTGCCAGCATCCCATATGGGTGCCAGTTTGAGTTCTGGCTGCTCCACTTTCAATCCAGCTCTCTGCTATGGCCTGGGAAAGCAGTAGAAGATGGCCCAAGTTCTTGGTCCCCTGCAGCCACATGGGAGACCCAGAAGAAGCTTCTGGCTTCAGATAAGCCCAACCCCAGCCATTGCAGCCATTTGGGGAATGAACAAGCTAAAGGAAGACACTCTCTCTCTCTTTCTCTCTTTCTGCCTCTGCCTCTCTCTCTCTAACTCGGCCTTTCAAATAAATAAACCTTAAAAAAAAAAAAATAACAAGTAGGGACTGATGTTGTAGCACGGCAGGTTAAGTCTTCGCCTGCAATGCCAGCATCCTGTATTGGTACTGGTTTAAGATCTGGCTGCTCCACTTCCAATCCAGCTTCTTGCTATTATGCCTGGGAAAGTAGCAGAAGATGGCCCAAATGCTTGGACCTCTGTGCCCATGTGGAGGACCTGGAAGAAGCTCTGAGCTCCTAGCTTTGTCCTGGGCCAGCCCCAGCTGATGCAGCCATTTGGAGAATGAACCAGCAGTTGGAAGTTTCTCTCTTTCTCTCTCTCTCTCTCTCTCTTTTTTAAAAGGTTTTATTTATTTATTTGAGAGGTAAAGTTACAGAGAGTGGGAGACAAAGGAAGAAGCACCTGGCTCCTGGCTTCGGATCAGCGCAGCTCCGACCATTGTGGCCATTTGAGGAATGAACCAACAGAAGGGAGACCTTTCTCTCTGTCTCTCTCACTCACTGTCTGTAACTCTACCTGTCAAATAAATAAATAAAAAATCTTTAAAAATATTCATATTAGTGTTGCTGTGGCTACCGTGCAAAATTGCTTTGTTATATATTTGTATACATATATGTACAAATTGTGACTACTGGTAAAGTGTGGTTTTAACTAGGCTATCTTTTTCTCCTAGAGATATCACCAATGTGTATTGGCACAGTAATGTAATTATAGAGCGGATTAAGCACAATGAACTCAAGACTATATCAGGCAACATTTATATATTAAAAGGAATAATAGACCGGATTTCCATGAAAGAAGCAGGTAAATGACCATCATTAGTTGATAAATTATTTTAGTCTGTGTAACGTGTTCTAATGAAAATAGACATTTTTAAATTTTTAGCTAAGTATTTTAAAAAACTAAAACAATTGAAAACAGGTAAAAACTATGGGTTGATCAGTTTTCTCTGATGTTATCATTGTTACTGACATTATAAATAAATTTTGTGATTTAGAAAACTCAAGTGAAATACTACTTATTTGTAAAGAAAGTTTTTATGTGAATATATTTTAATTCCCTTGTTCTTCTCTTTGTTGATCCTACCTGGCACAACCCCAGTCCTTGTGTGATCTAATTTGCTCTCTTTTCCTTGCATCCTGCTGATTTTAGCTGGAGAAAAACACACCCAAATAATTTACCTTTAATTTATCATTACCAACTTAGCGTTACCCCTTGGTGTTACCATGGTGCTACTTGGTATCCTACCATATTTCCCTATTCAGTTTAACTCTCTTATCTTCCCTGATGACTAGTTAAAATTTTTTGGAAATTTTTAATGCCTCTATCATACTCTTGGATAGGAGGGTGTGGTAAAAGGAGAATACCTGAGCAATAAGAATAATCAGAAGAGAATTTCTCCACCACTTTTACTCACCTGTTTATATCTGTATCAGCTTTTATTGTGAACAAATGATCCATGATCTTGTCTATGTCAGTCTCTCCATTTGTGTATTAGATCCAGTTTTCTCATTTTCACTCAAAGACATCAATCTAGTAATTCTCTGTTCTCATTTCAAAAAATAAAACAAAAATCCTCTTAAAAATCATATTGCTTTCAGCCATTATTGCTATAAATTATAGCAACATGAGATTTGTCTATATTTACTATATCGAAATTTCTCAAATTCATTCCCATTTTCTTTTTTTTCCAATTTGTTTTAGAAAGCTTTTATTTAATAAATATAAATTTCATAGGTAAGGCTTTTGGAATATAGCGATTCTTCCCTCTATACCTGCTATCCCACCCCCAAACCATCCCATCTCCTCCCTCTCCCATCCTATTCTTCATTAAGATTCATTTTTAATTATTTTTATATACAGAAAACCAACTCTATCCTAAGATTTCAACTGTTTGCACACAGACACACAAAGTATAACGTACTGTTTGAAGTTTTACTGTTAATTCTCATAGTACAACTCATTAAGGACAGAGGTCCTACATGTGGAGCAAGTGCACAGTGTCTCCTGTTAACAGTCGATACTCTTATTTATAACATCAGTGATCACCCGAGGCTTTTGTCATTTTTTTCTTGAACTCACTTTTGCAATACCTTAAACCTTAATTCTTTACTGAAACAGCTTGTATCAAAGTCATTCTCCATATTACTAAAACTAGTACACATTTATTATAATTAATTAATTCACTTGCCTCTTTGAAATACTTTTTTTGGTTTCTAATATACCCTATTTTACTTCTCTGTCCTTCATTAGTTTCTTTGTTTAGGTTTCTTTATCTCTAAATAATGGAATAATTTAGGATTTTTCTATATTCAGTGCTGTACTGATTCCTATTAGACTTTAAATATCATCTACATGATTACATATTCAAAACATATATCACAAATCGAGACTTGTCATAACCACCCAACTCATTTTCCATCTGCTAATTGGACATCTCTTTTGGAAAACTATAGGCATCTCAAAATCTAAATCAGATCTCACTTAAATCTGCTTAGAGTCTTCCTTACCTTTCAGTACTGTGCCAAAATCCTTGGAGGAATTTTTAAATCCTCAGTTTCTCCGCTGTTAAATGTAAGAGTGGGAATAAGAGAGGGAAGAGATGTGCAATTCGGGACATGCTCAAGCTGACTTACCTCAAACGGTAGAGTTAGAAACATACCAGGGGATTCCAATTCAGTCCCATCAAGGTGGCATGTACCAGTGCCATCTCACTAGTCCCAGTGATCAATTTCTGTTCACAATTGTTTGTTTTTTAAAGCTTTATATATTGGGGCCAGCACTGTGGCAAAGTAGGTTAGGCTTCTACCTGCAGCGCCGGCATCCCATGTGGGCATAAATTCGAGTCCCAGATCTCTGCTAACGGCCTGGGAAAGCAGTGAAAGATGGCCCAAGTGCTTAGGCCTCTGCTCCTCTGTGGGAGACCCAGAAGAAGCTCCTGGCTTTTTGGACTGGCTCAGTTCTAGCTGTTGTGGCCATTTGGGGAGTGAACCAATGGATGGAAGACTTCTGTGTCTCTCCCTCTCTGTAACTCTGTCTCTCAAATAAATAAAAAGTTACAGAAAGAGGGAGAGACAGAGAGATCTGCTAACCACTAGTTCACTCTCCAAATGACAACAGCTGGGACTGAGCCAGGCTGAAGCCAGGAGCTTCATCTGGGTCTTCCACTTGGATGGCAGAGGCCCAAACACTTGGGCCACCTCCTGTTGCTTTTCCCAGACCAGTAGCAGGGAGCTGGATTGTAAGTAGAGCAACTGAGACCTAAACTGGAGCCCATACAGGATGCTATCATTGCAGGTGGCAATTTTAACCACTATTTCACAATACCATCCCCTGTTTCTAGTATCTTAACCCTATATCCTTCAAGGCCCACTCTTTCATGATCTTCAGGAATTTGTTCATATTATACTGTTCCAATGAGGACTTTCCTGACTCCTTAAGTTGCTATCTGCCTCTCTTCTGCCCCACTAACATACTGATGTCCATAATCCACCTTTCCTGTAGTACCATCTGATAAATAAGATATTTATTGATTTGCTTTTTCTTTTATACTGTAAGGGAATTTGTCTGCTTTATTAACTGTTGAATTGTCATTATCAATAACAGTGCCTGGCAGTTAGTAAGCAAAAAGTACATGTTTCTTGAATGATTTAATAAATTACATCTCTTAAAATTCTGAGCTTTTTGATAATTTTTGTTTGCTTATTTATCTTGAAACAGGGTATCCAAATTATCTCATAAGAAAATTTATGTTTGGATTTCCACAAAATTGGAAAGAGCATATTGACAATTTTCTGAAACAGTTAAGGTGAAGTATTAAATTTTTAAAATTAACTATTGAAGTATGATTTACATTTCAATAAAATGCATCTATTTTAGTTATAAAATGTAATGAGCTTTTACAATTATGTACTTATTTAAAGTGCTTTTATTTTCTGATACTTATTTTTGGAAGTAGCAGTTTTGATGGTGTCATTTATCTTTAAATAATTTCAGAAGCAATAACACTTGACTAGAATTTCTGTCATCTTAAGTAAGAATAGAAGGCAAATGAAACTTGAGATGTTTCAAGAAGTCATGCTCAATTACCCACCATTTAAGAGACGTGTAGTGTTAATTTGCTAAAGTTCTTTATCCTTTTTCATGGTCATTCGTTGTCAGTAGTTATTGAGTATAGGCTACGTAGCAGATATTATAAGCAATTTTGGGAAAAACAAAGAATTTGATTAATTCTTGCCCTGAAGGAGTTGATAAGAGACTTTTAAAGTTAATCACTGCAATGATATAATCTATAATGATGGTTTTCAATGTTTTTTGTAAAGGGTCGGATAATAAGTATTTTTTTGGGTGTGTTGTCTCTGCTGTCTTTGCTTTTATAGTATAAAAGCAGCCATGGATGGTATGTAATTGAATGAGCATGGCTATGATTGAATACATTTTATTTACAAAACAGGCAAATGGCAGAATTTGTCCTGTAGTTTTCTAATAATATCAGTTTAAGTAGTAATTATAATAGCATAGAGTAGAAAGCACTTAGGAGTTTATATTTGAGTCCTTTGACTTAATATTTTATACTTGAGTTCATGGAAGAGGGGTTGGAAACCATGAGGGCTTAAAAATGTAAGATTAGGGGCAAGTATTCAGCCTGGTAGTTCACCTCTTAGGATGTCTGCATCCTATGTTGCAGTGCCTGGGTTCAAGTTGGATCTGCTTCCCATCCCAACTTCCTGCTCATGCACATCCTGAGAAACAGCAGGTGATGGCTCGAGTAGTTGGGTCCCTGCCACATATGTAGAGACCCATACTGAGTTCCCAGCTGCTTGGCCCAGCCCTGGCTTTTGTGGGCAGAAGGGAGATCACTGTTTTTTGTTTCTCTCTCTCTCTCTTTCTCTCTCTCTCTGTCATTCAAATACAACAAAAATGTAATGTTAAAGCCACTCTTTGCCTAAAATAGTTTTATTTGTTTATTTGTGGATTTAGGTTTTTGGCTTTTAAGAACAAATATTAGAGGGAAAATAATAATAGTTGTTTTTAGGGCTGGTGAAAAGAACAGGGAAAAGGCCAGACAAAAACAGAAAATTGGAAGATTTGTTTCTGACATAAGAAAATCAGTGAAAAATGATAGAGGAGAAAAACAAACATCTGTCCTCCAAAGGGCCAGCAACACTTACAACCTTGATTGTGGTAACTCAGGTATGTTTAGTCTTTTCTTCTTTGTTGGTATAGAGGTAAGTTTTGACATATGTTTTACATTATTTATTATTTATAATTTATTGTGTTCTTTGACTTTATATAATCTTAGAATTCTTGATTTTTCAGTACTAAGGAAAACTAATTGCATTATAGATTAATTGAGATCAAAATTAAGTTTATTTCATTAAATATACTTTTTGGGAACAGATGTTTAGCAGTTAAGGTACCCATGTCCCATAAAGGAGTACTTAGGTTTAAGTCCTAGCTCTGACTGGATAAAGAAATTATGGGATATGTACACTATAGAATTCTACATAGCAGTAAGGAAATGAAATCCAGTCATTTGCAACAAAATAGAGCAATCTGAAAAACTTCATACTTAGTGAAATAAGCCAATCCTAAAGGGACAAATACTATATGTTCTCCCTGATCTGTGAGAACTAATAGTGCACCTAAACGAAAGCTGTAGAAGTGAAATTGACACTTTTGAGAAGCAATGACTTGAATAGCCCTCGTCTTGACTGTTGAAGAACAGGTTTTTATTTTTTTTTAATATTTTTTCTCTTTTTCATACTATATGTTGAACTCTTTACTTAACATAAAGTTAATCATATGTATATAAAGTCAATTGAAAATAGATCTCCGTAAAAAACGAGAGGGAGAATAAGAGGGAGAAGGAAGTTCGTAACTGTAAAGCTGTAGTTCTGCATACATTCCCATGGACTTACTTCTAAGGGTACAGTTTAAAAAGTTGTCACGGGTCTCCAAATCCCATTAAAATTGGTGGTAAAAATGCCATCTTAATTGTTAAAGTGATCATATTAAGTGTTAAAGTGAACATATAGATAGGATTAAGTGTTAAAGAGATCATATAAATAGTATCAAATGCCTGGTAATAATAATAGAATTATAAAGGAAGGAATGTCCAACATGGGAAGCAGTCCACACAGCAGACTCATAGAGTGACAATTGCTTTAAGTAACACTCTGACCTCAGAATCAGTCCTTAAGGCATTTGGATGTAGCTGAAAAGCCCATGAGAGCATTTCAGGCAGGGAAAGCCAAGACACTGGCAAAAAATATCCTATATGAAGGATCTCTGTGAGTGAGACCCCAGTGGAAAGAAGGAGCCATCGAAGAAGGATGTACTTTTCTCTGAAGGGAGGAGAGAACTTCCACTTTGCTTATGGCCTTGTCTAAATGGTGATGGAGTTTGTGGTCACAAAAGGCTTCCATAGCCTTGGCAGCTCATGGCAAGAGCCTTGGGTGATCATTGACATCATAAATTAGAGTGTTAATTGTTAAATTAACAATAGAAATCACTGTACTTACTCCCCATGTAGGACCTCTGCCCTTAATGAGTTACACTATGAGAATTAACTGCAAAACTTGTTCTCAAACAGTACTTTGTACGTTGTGTGTGTATGTGGGTGCAAACTGTTGAAATCTTTACTTAGTATAGAGTTGGTCTTCGGTACATAAAGTTAATTAAAAATGAATCTTAATGAAGAATGGGATGGGAGAGTTAGTAGGAAGTGGGATGGGAGTGGGGGTGGCAGAGGAGTATGGGGAGAAGAACTACTATATTCCTAAAGTTGTACCTATAAAATTTGCATTCATTAAATAAAAGCTTTTAAAAAAAAATCCTAGCTATGGCACCTGACTCCAGCTTCCCATCAGTGCAGACCCAGGAAAGTAGTGGGGATGTCTCAAGTAACTGAATTCTTGGCATCCATGTTGGAGACCTGGGTTGCATTCCCGGCTCCTGACTCTGGCCCTGGCCCAGCCTTAGCTGTTAGGGGCAATTCCTTCTCTCTGTCTCTGTGTGTATCTGCTTCCCAAAAAACAATAATAAGTTTTAAAAAATAATAAGCCTTTTAGAAGCAGACATTCAACCTCGTGGTTAGGATGTCCACGTCCCACATCAGAGTACTTTGTTTTGTAATACTAAAGAACACTGATAAATGTGTCAGTAAAAGATTATTCTTTGAATTTCCTAGTCCCAAGGTATTTACGCTGCTAACCTACCTAAAATCCTTAGTAAACCATACATATATTTCTGTACCAAATTTCATTCCTCATAATAGACAAAACTAGTTTTCATTCATTGAGGAGATAGCATGTTGTTTTGAATGACAGTTGTTATAAAGGTAGCTGACAGAACTGTCCTGTGTCAGATGCTAGCACTGTATTCTGCCTCATGTACTACCTCTACTCCTAAAATGTATGAACATTAATTTACAAACCTAAGTAACATAGGTAAGTAAAAGTTATTATAATCTGTTATCTGCATTTCTGTCAATTTTACTCTGACTTTGTAACTAAAAGCTTTACAGAACTTAATAAAGAACTCAGAATTGTTTCTGCCAGAAACAGGAAACCTTACTGGATGTAAGTTTATCTATATCTCACTGTAACTTCTCCCAGACCCCATTTGAAGCCCCCTCCAATCCCAATAAAAAATTTTTTGCTTATTTCTTCTGGTACAGAGAAATAACTTAGTATGTAAAGACTGCTTGCCCAGAGTTAACAAAAATTCACTTAGGCCCTATTTGTTTTGAATCTATCCTTATTTCATCAAAAGTCATCCTATTCCCCCTAAATTGACCAGATTGCTTATTGTCGTTGCCAGACCACCTTGAATATCCTGGAATCCAAGGTCTGTAGCATATGCTGTCTACTTCTTTATTCCTAAATCAATGAATTCCTGAAAGTAATCTCAGTCATTTGTTATTCTTCTTTAGTCTTAGATCTAAACCCAACCCCTACCTCCTGCCTTCATTTACAGCAGCATTTTTTAGGGATTCGAGCTGAACTCAATCCAGATCTCATATGTGAGCAGCAAGAACCCAACTACTTAAGCAATTACCTGCTGCTATCTTCCAGGGTACTTATTTACAGGAAGTTGGAATGCAAAATGAAGCCTGGACTCAAACCCAGGCATTTTTTTTTTTTTTTAAGACTTATCTTACGCTGGTTCACTCCCCAAATGGCTACAACAGCTGGAACCAGGGCAATCTGGTGCCACTTCTTCTGGGTCTCCCATGTAGGTTCAGGGGTCCAAGCACTTGACCCATTTTCCAGTGCTTTCCCAGGCCATTAGCAGAGAGCTGGATCTGAAGAGGAGCAGCCAGGACACAAACTGGCACCCATATAGGATGCCAGCACCGCAGGTGGAGGCCTAAGATTACATCACAGCACTAACCCCAAATCCAGGCATTCTTTATGGGATGCTGGCATCCTAGCTGGTGTCTTACCTGTTAGGCCAAATTGCTGCTCCACATCTTAATTTTATATTGTTAGTGAGTATCTTCCTATCATGAGTTATTTTGAGTGGAGGTAGTTGGTGCTGTTATTTTTATTATCATTGCAGATTCCACGGAGACAGTTAAAATGAAAGAAAACTACATCTTAGGCCGGCGCCGCAGCTCACTAGGCTAATCCTCTGCCTTGCGGCACCGGCACACCGGGTTCTAGTCCCGGTCGGGGCGCCGGATTCTGTCCCGGTTGCTCCTCTTCCAGGCCAGCTCTCTGTTGTGGCCTGGGAGTGCAGTGGAGGATGGCCCAAGTGCTTGGGCCCTGCACCCCATGGGAGACCAGGAGAAGTACCTGGCTCCTGGCTTCGGATCAGCGCGGTGCGCTGGCCACAGCACGGCGGCCATTGGAGGGTGAACCAATGGCAAAGGAAGACCTTTCTCTCTGTCTCTCTCTCTCACTGTCCACTCTGTCTGTCAAAAATAAATAAATAAATAAATCTTTTTTTTTTTTTTTTAAAGAAAACTACATCTTAACACTAAACTCTTATAAAGATTCCAGGGCATGACAGTTGAAGATGGTGTGTGTGTGTGTGTGTGTGTGTGTTAATGATTTACCTAAAAGATAGTTGTCTATATTTAGCATTATATCCTGTATATCATTATATTGCTGTGTGTGTGTTACTAACCTTATCAGAGTATGTTATAAATAATTTATTATAATATCAACTTCCTTCAGTATACAATAATATTCTCAAGATCAGGACTGTCCATTGTATATCTTCTAAGAAGGATAACAAGGGGACCAGCACTGTGGCACAGCGGGTTGAAGCCCCAGTCTGCAGTGCTGGCATCCCATATGGGTTCCGGTTCAAGTCCCAGCTGCTCCATTTACGATGCAACTCTCTGCTATGGCCTCGGAAAGCAGTACAAGATGGCCCAAGTCCTTGGGCCCCTGCACCCATATGGGAGATCCAGAGGAAGCTCTTGGCTCCCGGCTTTGGATCGGCACAGCTCCAGCCATTACAGCCAATTGGGGAGTGACCCAGCGGATAGAAGACCTCTCTCTCCCTCTCTGTCTCACCTTCTCTCTCTGTGTAACTCTCACTTTCAAATAAATAAATAAGTCTTTAAACAACAACAACAACAAAAAGTGCTAAGCAGTACAAGTGCTTGTGCCCCTGCACCTGCATGGGAGACCCAGAAAAAGCTCCTGGTTCTTGGCTTTGGATCAGTACAGCTCCGGCTATTGGAGTCACCTGGAGAGTGAACCAGTGGATGGAAGAACTTTCTCTCTCTCTGCCTCTGTAACTCTGCTTTCAGATAAATAAATAAATCTTGAAAAAAAAAATCAAACGTAATTTAAACAGTAAAAAGCACAGAAATTTAAAGTTGGCTGGGTCCTCAGATAAATACAGAAAAAAGAATAACAAAATAGTCTTTAGGCTGGTTGTGAGTCTTCTTAAATTTCAGCTCAATAATCATTTGTTGAGCATATAACAAGACAAAACAACCCATGCTGCCACATCCTTCCCCACAGAAACTCAAGCCTCCATGCCCTTATCCTAACTTTGTTCAGCTCTGTGTAAGTTTCAACTGTCTATCCCTCCTTTTGAGTCTCATACTGTATGACAATGGCTTCTGCGTTTAGCCATTTAATAACAGTTTTTTTCTGTTAACCTATTGTCAATTGATTTCAGGGGGGGAACTTACTGAATCTTCAGAGGGAAGAGTAAATTTAAACTTCCCCAGGGCCCAGTGTTGTAAAGTGGGTAAAGCCTACTGTCTACAATGCTGATATCTCATATGAGCACTGGTTCCTGTCCTGGCTGCTCTGCTTCCAATCCATCTCCCTGTTGATGGCCTAGGGAAAGCAGCAGCAGTCAATGGCCCAAGTGTCTGGGTCTCTGCCACCCATATGGCAGACCTGGATGTAGTTCCTGGCTCCTGACTTCAGCTTGGTCCAGCACTGGCTGTTGGGACCATCTGAGGAGTCAACCAGCCAATGCAATATCTCTGTCTCTTCCTTCTCTAACTCTTTAAAAAAAAAAAAAATAAAAACATTAGAAAAAATAAAACAATACTTCCTGCAATGTACAGGAAACTACAAAAAGTCCATGGAAAATGGAATTAAGATTATTTTTGCAAAAACATTTTTGAAATCTATAGTTTTTTCGTAATGTATAGTTAGTTTCCACAAACCTTTTTTTTTTTTTTTTTTTAAAGATTTATTTATTTGAAAGAGTTACACAAAGAGAGAGAGTGAGAGAGAGGTCTTCCATCTGCTGTTTCATTTCCCAACTGGCCACAACAGCCGGAGCTGTGCCAATCCAAAGCCAGGAGCCAGGAGCTTCTTCCAAGTCTCCCAGGTGGGTGCAGGGGCCCAAGGACTTGGGCCATCTTCTACCTGCTTTCCCAGGCCAGAGCTGAGAGCTAGATTGGAAATGGAACAGCCGGGTCTCGAACCTGTGCCCATATGGGATGCAGGCTCTTCAGGCCAGGGCATTAACCCACTGTGCCACAGCGCCAGCCCCTCCATAAACCTTTTGTTGTACTGTGTAGTTTGATTTTGTTCAAATTTTTAATTAGCATGAATTTAATTATGCCTTTTAGTACATAAATTAACAATCTTAATTCCATATGCATGAGGAAATACAGAGAAATAGTTACTAGCTTTCTATTTAGTTGGTGTAAAGTTAGAATGAAAAGTTTGTATTTACAAAGTAGATTAACTTTACTGATCTGTCTTTAGATGTGACAAAAGAGATTTTTTAATTGAACAGAACAGAGTCCTATTCAAAGTGATCCTGTCCAAATAAAACTGCTTTATATCATATTCAAATTAGAATAAATATGATATTGGATTACACAAATTTTTTCTAATTTAATCTTTAATTTGGAAAAGTACTTTCCTTCATTTATTAAAAATCTCTATTTTTATGATCACAGAACTAAAGAATAATAAGCACAGTTGTTTGCCAGGAACTACAGAATTAAACATTTGCCATGGTAATTGCCAAAATAAACCACCATTAAGAATACAAGATGACCAAAAAAATAATACTATTCAAAATGGGGGAGGATATGACTTACTTAATCAGGTAAGATATTACTGTATACTGTCTACAGTAAGTAAGGTGATGTGGCACTACTGAAAAGGTTCAGAACTGTATCACGAGACATGGATTCTGTTTGTTAAGTATTAACTTTTCATCATCTTTGAGACTGTAGAAAAATGTCTTGGTATTTCCCAGTCATTGAAAAAAGCACAAGCAACAGTAACGAAAGTTTTAACTCTTAGAGTAAAACTTTATTAGATAAACTATATAAAAAGTACTTTAAAAATCACAAAGAATCATGACCAGCATTGTGGTGCAGTGGGTTAAGCTGCTGCTCGCTATGCCAGCCATATCACAGCACAGGTTCAAGTCCCAGCTGCTCCACTTCCAATCCAGCTCCTTGCTAACTCGTCTGGGAAAGCAGCCTGGCTCCTGGCTTTTGTGGCCATTCGGGGAGTGAACCTGCAGAGGAAAGAGCTCTTTCTCTCCCTCTCTCTCTGTCATTCTGCCTTTGGAATAAATGAATCTTTTTTTAAAAATCGAAAAATATTAAATTAGGGAAATAATGTAGGATAATAGATATACAGATGTGCTTCTAAAGCTTAAGCTCTGGCAAATGAGTTTCTGAATGCCTCTAACTAATGAAATTAGAACTATAAGGATCTTGAAGTTTGTATGCTTGATAAATACTGTAAAAATGCTTCTGGTCATGTTTAGTTAGTTATAAGCAAGCTGTCTTTTGTTTTGAAGGAATTAGCTGGAAAAAAAAATAAAAAGTTGCCTTCAAAGAAACTGAAAAATCGTGAAAGGATAATTGAAAGTCAGAAGCAAGGTAATATTATCTTTAATAGTTTTATAATAATGCATAGGAAGTTACTATTTGGAATGTTTTTAATATGATAAAAGTTACTTTGTAGATTTTCTTATCTAGTGGTAAACTATTTGAGTAGTTTTAGATGTTTGATTTTGTTATTTTTACATAAGATTATTTGCAGAATAATCTACTTTAAGTAGGATATTCCTTACAATTTTTCCTCCTTTTATCTGAGTGCTTAGGAATTTTGTTTAGATTACAAAATAATACATCATTTTAAATATGCTTACAAGAATGATTAGACTGAATTCCTTTGGTAAATTAATTCCATAATTTAGTTTTGTGTGTAGATTTTCAGTGATTTATTTGAAATCCTGCCTACCAAAATTAAAGCCACCTCTTCACTAAATACTAACAAATTTAAAACTTCATGTTGAGTTAAATCCATCAGTTCTGTAGCACTTTTTCCCATTTTAATTCTTATAAATGAAAAGAAGTAAAAATGAATATCAGATGTTAGAAGTGATAGTGTTATTGCTTAGACTGCTGCTAAGTTCCTATAGATTAGGTTCAGTGTAGACTGAATCCTTATTCAAATTACTTAATTAACTCATTAAAAATATTCCTAGTAGGAATACAAACATTCCCAATAGAAATTTCAAATTGGAATGTATAAAATTTTGAAATTCCTAATTGAAACCTAAATTGGATTTGCATGAGAAATTAAAGAAAACACTTTACTCATAATTTGAAGAATGCCAGTGAAAATCTTGTAAAATTTTCTAGTTTACTTTGATTGGTATTACATTTCCTTGAATTGTAATTTAGAAACACTCTTTTCCCTAACATTCAGTATTATCCATTAGTCTTTTCATTTTGCTAGTCTTAAAAACAATGGCATATTTGTACGTTGTTGTAGTGTTTCACTCTGATGATTTGATGATTGGTTTGATGATTTACAATTTACGTATATTATACTTACAATTAGGTTATCTGAAGTTACAATTTATGTTAGTTTAGCTTCTGCTTTCTGAAGTTTCAAATTAGAGAACTCTGTTTATTTGATTTGCTTTATTTAACTAGCAACATGGTATAATAAAGAATCCTAGGTACTATTGTGACTGTTTTCCCATGATGGTTCATGGAGTTTGGGGTGACTTAGCAAGAATGATGGCTCCATGGCCACTATGGGTAATCAGAGTAGACCATGCAAATAGAATTTCCGTGTTTTCTTACTTGGCACAGCTTTTATTTCATATATTACTTGCCTAGTAAGGTTTTAGGGACCCTAATTGTTATCTTAGCTTTCCTAAATGTTCACCACCAGAGAATTGATTTAATAGTTATTGGTACTGTATATGCGAAAGGCTCTAATAACTACAACATAAAAACCAAACATGAAGATAAATTTTTACTAATAGTGATTTTTTTTCTTATCTAGTTGAATGATAAGACAAGTGTGCAATTATAATGCATGACATTATCATAATACAGCATTATTTCCAAGTGTTTTGGAAGAAATTTGAAGAAGGGCTTTCATTCAGTTGAGGGAATCAGGACAAAGTTTGTAGACTACTTGTGTTAGAGAATAGAATCAAAGCAGGTAGTGATTTGGTTTTGTAGATGAGTGTAGAAAATTTCACAAGTAGAGTAATGTAAACAGAATAGTTGCGAATCAGGAAAATTTGAGAAACAACAAGTAGTGTTACTAGATACAAAAATATAGTTCAGATTTGAGAACAGTGAATGTTTGGAACTGTATCAAAGGCCAGGCAGAGGGACTTACATGTTTACCAGTAGACTGATGAAGTCATTGGCAGGTTTTTATAAAAAATAGTAGGCTTACAATGAAGTGGCAGTTTCTTGTAGACTTGTACTTTGGTAAAATTAATGACAGTAATGTATACAGTGGAGCTTGTGAAAAAATATTTTATTTGTGAAAATATTTTCTCTAACATAGCTAATTTGATATTTTGGTCTTTGTTTTTATTTCATGAAATTAAAGAAAGAACTGAAGAATGGAATGTACCCATTGATATTCTAACCTCAAGGGAACAGTTTTTCTCAAATGAAGAAAGAAAATACATGACTGTTCATCAGAAAGAAGCTTATATTTTAGTAACACCACTTAAATCTAAGAGTGCCATAGAACAAAGATGCAAGAAGTATAATCTATCCTCTGCCACCATTACAGCAGTATCAGACTTTGCAATGCCAAAGCATCAAAAAGAAAGTGAATCAGACTTAAATGAAACTGTAAGTCCTGTTACTAAGTCCACGGTGACTCTAGAAAATATCTTTGAGTATAGTATGGGTCATAAAAATAACAAGGAAGAGTCCATTGAGTGTGATTTTCTCACTGTCAACCAGCAAATAAAAATACCTAGCCCTAAAAGCAAACAAATGGCCTCCTTGGACTTGAAGAATACAAGATTGTTATCAAAATTAGAGAAAACCGAAAATCAAGTAGCTATGCCATTTGACAAGCATCAGTCCTTTTCAGATTTGACAGGTGAAGAGAGTAAAATAGAAAACAAAATTAAAAGGAAAGCTGGGGTTAATAAAACCAGAGCAAGAAATACCACGGGAACAGTGGTTCACCTTAGAAAAAGCTCAAGCAACACCACAAGAACTATGGAATCTGAAACTGATGAAAGTGACAATGAATTTTTTATTAAAAAAAAGAAAGCTAGATCTTCTGCTCAAGAAACTCTTCAGAAATCCAATGTTAGGAATGAGCTTCCAATTATTGAGGCAGCAGGATCTGAGAAGACTAAAAGATATCCCTTGGAATGTTTAACTGGTTCAATTCAAGATGAAGAATGGAATGAGAACGAATTACATAAACTTCATTGGTAAGTAGTTAGAGTTGACCATGAAAAATATACAGAGCAGCCACGAAACAGTTAAAGACATAAAAACATTAAGGGACTGATTTAATGACTTCTGACTATTGATACTATAATGATGCCATAGAGTTTTTCCAAAGTGTGGGAATGATTTGCTAAGTCTGCTGCTGCTGCTAAATCAAGTATAAAAAATGGAATTGGCTACTAGTCTTAACAAGCAGCTTCAGTAGTATGTGTAGTATTAGACACCAGATCATAGTTGAGTGATGAATAGTAAATGGAAGGGTAGAGAGATAAAGACTACCCTAGGAGGTCAAGACAAGAAATTTGTCAAAGATGGGAAATAAAAAAATACAGAAGTTATAGAAAGGAGTGTGGATATATGAGATGTTTGGTTATTTACATGTTTGTTTGTAAAATGACTGATGCCAGACTGTGGTGATAAACTGATGAAATGAATTAGTGTAGGTATAACTGATCTATTAAATGTAATTGAAAAGGAGAGAATATGACATAGGATTTTTTTTCAATTTCCTGAAAGCTTTAAAGGAGGTGTTTTTTTTTTTTTTTTTTTTTTTTTTCTTTTAAAGAATTATTTATTTGAGAGGCAGAGTTACAGAGAGACAGGGTGAGGTCTTCCATCTGCTGGTTAACTCCTCAGATGGCTGCAGCAGCCAGAGCTGGGCCGATCTGAAGCAAGGAGCCAGGAGCTTCTTCCAGGAATCCCATGTGAGTGCCAGGGCCCGAGCACTTGGACCGTCTTCCTCTGCTTTCCCAAGCCATAGCAGAGAGCTAGATTGGAAGGGGAGCACCTGGGACTTGAACCAGCATCCATCTGGGATGCCAGTGCCAGAGTCTGAGACTTAGCCTACTGCTCTACAACACTGACCCCTCTTGGTATTCTTTTTACTCTTCAAATTTTAATCTCTCCTATTTCTTTTTTTTAATATTTGAAGCAACAATTTTCTTATTTTTTTAAGATTTATTTATTTATTTGAAAGAGTTACACAGAGAAGGAGAGGCAGAGAGAGAGAGGTCTTCCATTTGCTGGTTCACTCCCCAGTTGGCCATAACGGCTGGAGCTGCGCCGATCCAAAGCCAGGAGCCAGGAGCTTCTTCTGGATCTCCCACGTGGGTGCAGGGGCCCAAGGACTCAGACCATCTTGTACTGCTTTCCCAGGCCATAGCAGAGAGCTGGGTCGGAAGTGGAGCAGCCAGGACCTGAACCGGCACTCATATGGGATGCTGACACCGCAGGTGGTGGCTTTACCCACTATGCCACAGCGCCCGCCCCAATCTCTCCTATTTCTATAGTTGCCTTTTTTTTTTTTTTAATTATTTATTTGAAAGGCAGAGATCTTCCATCTACTAGGTGACTTCCCAAATGATCACAACAGTCAAGTGTGTCTGTGCTAAGGTGAACTAGAAGCCAGGAGCATCTTCCAGGTGTCCTACATGGATGCAGAGGCCCAAAGACTTGTGCTGTCTTCCACTGCTTTCACAATGCATTAGGAGGAAGCTAGATAAGGAAGTGTTTATCTCTATCTATCCATGCAACATTGGAAATAGTGGGTTAAGTCACTGCTTGCAGTGCCAGCATCCCACAGGAGCATATGTGTCATGTCTGCTTCCCTTCCAACCTAGCGCCCTGGTAATATGCCTGGGAAAGCAGCAGAAGATGGTCTAAGTACTTAGGCCACTGCACCCGCTTAGGAGACCCAGAAAAAGCTCCTGGTCCCTGGCTTTGGCCTAGGCATCCCTGGCTGTGGCAGCCTTTGGGGAGTAAAGAAACAGATGGAAGATTTTTTCTGTCTCTCTTTCTGTAACTCTGCCTTTCAAATAAATAAATGAATCTTTTTTTAAAAAAAAAATCTCTCACCCTGAATTCCTGTATTTAGATTTGTATTTCCCTTTGCCTGCTGAATGTCACTGTATAAACCTCACCTACAAGTCTGACATGATATATCAGAAAACAAACTGCATGCCTACCCACTTTGGCTGACATTTCTATTTCTGTAAATGTAATCCTTCTGTCAAAGAGGCTTAAACTCTGTCACTATGATTTTATTTCTTTAAATCCTATTAGTTACCAAATGAGTCATTCTACCTGCAGTCTCTTTTCTTAATACTGCTTCTTTTCAGACCTTTGATGCCTTTTGCGTGAATTATGGAAATAGTCATTTTTTAAAGATTTATTCATTTCTTTGAAAGGCAGAGTTATAGAGAGCCAGAGGCAGAGAGAGAAAGAGAGAGGGAGGGGTGTCTTCCATCCATGGGTTCACTCTGCAAATGGCTGTAGTAGCCAGAGCTGAGCCGATCTGAAGCCAGGAGCCAGGAGCTTCTTCTGAGTCTCCCACGTGGGTGCAGGGCCCCAAGCACTTAGGCCATCCTCTTCTGCTTTCCCAGGCCAAACCAGAGTGCTGGATAGGAAGTGTAGCAGCTGGGACTCAAACCGGTGCCCATATGGGATGTTGACATAGCTTCACCCGGTATGCCACAGTGCCGGCCCCAGTCCCAGAAATAGTCTTGTATTTCTGGTTTCTTCTTTTTGTATAATCTGTATTATATATCCCTAGATTAATCTTAGTGGATGGCTGTAATCCTAATAGATCAGAAGTCTTTGCTGCATTTTTTAAAGATTTATTTTACTTACTGAAATGTAGAGTGAACAGAGAGAGGGAGAAACAGAGAAAGAAATCTGTTTCTGACTCATTCCCTAAATGGTGCAATGGCAAGGACTGGTCCAGGGTGAAGCCAGAAGCCCAGAATCCATGTGGATGGCAAGGTCTCCACTATGGGATGCTGGAGTCAGAGGCTGAAACTTACTTCACTACGCCACAGTGCTAGCCCCGTTGTTGCGTTCTTATGAATATTCAAATTAAATAAATACTCCTCTGCCTTACTTTGAGAGCATATGATTTTGATTATCCCTTTCTGCTATATCTCCCACCATTTTCTTACAATAAAGCTCTTTAACCTTTATGATACATTCAGATCATCTAAGGAAATTTAAAATTGCCTGGAGTGCAGATTCCAGTTCCCAATGAGGTAGAATAAGCACACATCACTCTTTTTACTATGTGACTATAAACCTGGACAGAATGCATGAAACAGCTTTTTGTCAACTTATTAGAGAATGTTGGAATTTTAAGTACCACCAAATTAGCAGTGAATTTCCAACTTTTTGTTTGGGTATTTCCTGAGCTAGACTCAAAACTGGTAGAAATCTGAAAGTGGGCATTGAGGCACAACAAACATAATTCAATTAGAAGCTCTCCAAGTCTGGGTTGAGCATTCTGGGAGATAACTTCTAACACTCAGAAGCAGTGGAGGATACCTCACAGTTTCTTTCTTTTCTCCTTTCTCATAGTTCTTATGCAGTCAGGCAGTCCACAGCATCACCTGGATCCCAGATTTACCTAAAATGGAGAGAAGGAGAAACTTCACTCATGTGTCACCTCACTCCCAAAATCTTTCCTTGCCATTACCTTTTCCTACTACCCACCGAATTACATATGATGTCTCTTTGTTATGAACAACATAAAGCAATGACACTCCTGGTAGAAATCAACTTATACCGAAGATTCAAGATGACTGAATTTTAGGTAGAACAGAATATGTGTAAGTAGGAAGAGGGCATATTTAGAAATATTGAAAGAAGGCCACAGAATACTGAAAGCTGATGGAAGAGCAATAAAAGATAAGACTAGAGAGTCAGGCAAGCAACAATGTAGATCATATCAAGGATTTTAGTTTTTATGCTATGCAAAATGAAGTTTTAAGTAGGACTAGGGTTACATGTTAAAATTTGCCTGTTTAAATTATCTTGGGTGAGAGGAGATAGCGTTAATTTCTCACCAATTTATTATTAAATACATCATGAAATATTTTAATTATGAAAACACTCCTTTTAGATAACTCCTTTTAGAAATTGGCTGCACATACACACACACACACCCCTACACAGTAGTTTGAGCTCCAAAATCCTTCTAGTTCTCCACTTTAGAGTACCTATAGAGTGATTAATTATGCAAAAGCATTTATTACCAAGTATTTAGTGCCCTTAATATTTGTTCTCTTTCTGTGCATCAGTGATATGTATGCCCTATAAAGTGATAGCTATTTATAAGAGCTGATTGTTGAATTTGGGGAAACTTACAAATCAATTATTATTAAAGAGTCATTACAAATTATATAAACATTAAATTATATTTAAAACAAAGGTCATACTGAATAACTTCCAAATTATTTTAATAGGTTATCTATACTCTTTAGTCTTTTTTATCTGTGTGTTGGAAATATTATAGAATCTTGTGCTTTCACATTTTCTGCCTGTTTCACATTCAGTGCCATTTTAGTGATAGTTTGAAATCAACCAGAGAGAGTATTTGCCATCTGGAAATTGGTAAATACAAATCAGGGCTTTTTCACCTAAAACTTAGCCTCAGAACAGACATTTTAGCTTAGTTATTATGCCATTTCCCACATCTGAGTTCTTGGGTTTGATACTCAGCTCCTTCTCCAGTTTCCAGCCTCCTGCTAACACAAACCCTAGGAGTTAGTGATAATTGCTCAAGTAATTGAGTTCCTGCCACACTAGTGGGAGACTGGATGGAGATGCCATCTCCTGACTTCAGTCTAGCCCGGTCTTAGCAAGTGCAAGAATTTGGAGAGTGAACCAGTAAATGGGAGCTCTTTGTCTGTCTCTGTCTCAGAAATAATATTTAAAAAAATTAAGTTAAGTATACTTAACTGCATGAAACCTACACCTAGTTGGAATCCATGTGAAAATAAAAATACAGCCATTACTCTGCATCTATGAGTATTGATTCCAGCAACCCCTCACTCTCCTCCACCCCAGTAACAAAATCTGCAGATACTCAAGTTGTTTATATCAAATGATGTAGTAACTCCATATAACCTATGCACATCCTCCTGTATACTTTTAAGTTAACTCTACATTACTTATAATATCTAATGCAACAATTGAAAACGTGTGTAAATGTTATACTGTATTGCTTAGGGAATAATGACAAGAAAACAAGGTCTGTATATGTGTTGAGACAAAATTATCTTTTTTGAAGCTATTTTACATTTGTGGTTGGTTAATCTGTTTATGTGGAACCATGGATATGAAGCACCGACTGCACATTTTGTCAAAGACACAGTACTTGAAATAAAGACATGATATAGTTCACATAATGATGTTAGTATAGATTGAGCATCTGTAATGTAAAAAACCAAAATTAAAATGCTCTAAAATTTGGAAAGTTTTGAACATTGCCACGGTTCCACAAGTGGAAAACTCCACACCTGACCTCATGATTGGTCACAATCAGAATGCAAGCAACACTAAATATATTGTATATAATTACCCTCAGACTATAAGTATTAAAAGAAGTAAATGAATGAAACAAATGAATTTTCAGTTTAGATGGGGGTTTCACCCTAAGATAATCTCACTATGTATATGCACATATTTCAAAATCTGAAAAAAATCCAGAACATGTCTAATTCCAAGAATTTTGGAAAAGGGATACTTGACCTGTATCACTTTAGGCTAATTGGCCACACTATCTGCCTAACCACAGTACATAAAGCCTTTTATGGCAGCAGGGAATGGTAACATGTGTACCAGCTTCTAGGTAGTCATTTACAGATGAACTTTTAGGATGTTACTCGTAGGTTAAATTGGGGGCTACCTTATATTTACAGTATTGTTCTATAGTGATTTTTGTTTCCCTCAGTTGAGAGCATTTTATTTAAAATACTGAATTTTGACATGGGCATTTAGGCTAGTGGTTAAAATGTTGGTTGAGGGGGGTGAGGGAGGAGGCAGTGAGCATTGTGGTTTAACAAGTAAAGCTGCCAAGATGCCTGCATCCCATATAGGAGTAGTGGTTCAAGTCTAGGCTGCTCCACTTCCGATCCAGCTTCCTGTTAATGTACCTGAGAGGCAGCAGGTGATGGCCCAAGTACTTGGGTTCCTGCATGTGGGAGACCCAGATGGAAGATCCCTCTCCCTCTCTCCCTATCTCTGTCACCCTGCCTTTCGAATAAAATGTCTTTTTTTTTTTTTGAGATTTATTTTATTTATTTAAAAGGTGGAGTTAGGGAGAGACAGAGAGAGGTCTTCCATCCACTGGTTCACTCCCCAAATGGCTTCAAAGGCTAAGGTGGGCCAGACTGGGAGCCAGGAACTTTTACCAGGTGGGTGCCCCAGTACTTGGGCTGGCCTCTTCTGATTTCCCAGGTGCATCACCAGGGAGCTAGATCTAAAGTAGAACAGCTGGGATGCTAACCTCTATCCATATGGGATACTGGCGCTGAAGGTGTCAGCTTTACCTGCTGTGCTACAGCGCCAGCCCCTAAAATAAATCTTTTTTTTTTTTTTTTTAAAGATTGATTTGTTTATTTGAAAGATATAGACAGAGAAGGGGGTTGGGGGAGAGAGAGATCTTCTATCCATTGGTTCACTGCCCTAATGGCTGCAACAGCCAGGGTTGGGCAAGGCTGAAATCAGAAGTTTCTTCCTGGTCTCCCACGTGGGCACAGGAGCCCAAGTACTTGGACCACCTTCTGCTGCTTTACCAGGTGCATTAGCAGGGAGTTGGATCAGAAGTAGAACAGCCAAGGCTTGAACTGATGCCCACATGGGATGTTGGCATTGTAAGCAGAGGCTTAACCTTCTACGCCATAGCACCTACCCCTAAAATAAATATAAAAAAGAAAATGCTAGCTAAAACTCTTATGTCCCACATTGGAGTACCTGGGTTCAGTATTCAGCTCTGGCTCGTGACTCCAGTTTCCTGCTAATGCAGACTCAAGGAGGCAACAACAATGGCTCAAGTAATTGGCTTCCTTGTGGCTGGTGTTGTCGTGCAGCATGTTAAGCTGCTGCTTGCAATGTCAGCATCCCATATCAGAGTGCCAGCTCAAATACTAACTACTTTGCGTCTGATCCAGCTTTCTGCTAATGTGCCTGAGAAGGCAGTGGATTATGGTCCAAGTGATTGGGCCCATGCCATCCATGTGGAAGACCAGGATGGAGTTCCTGACTCTGTCTTAGACCTGGCTGTTGTGACTATTTGGTAAGCCATCAAGTGGCTGGGAGATCTCGCTGTTGCTCTACCTTTCAAATAAGTAAATAAATCTTTAAAAGAAAAGCAATTTGGTTTTCACCATGCACATGAGAGACCATGAATGACTATTTGGCTTCCGACTTTGGCCCAACCCTGTCGCAGCCATTGTGGGCATTTAGGGGAATGAATCAATAGCATTTAGGGGAGTGAATCAATAGGTGGAGGCTCTTTCTGCATGCCTTCTTTCAGTTAAATATGTTGTCACATAGTGGGTAAAGGTGCAGTCTGCTATACTGGCATCCCATATGGGCACTGGTTCCAGTCTTGGCTGTTCCACTTTGATCCAGGTCTGTGCTGATGACCTGGGAAAACCAGAGGAAGATGACCCAAGTGCTCAGGCCCCTGGCATCCACTGTGGGAGACCCAGTTGAAGCCCCTGGTTTCTGGCTTCAGTATGGCCCATTGCTGGCCATTGTGGCTGTCTAGGGAGTAAACCAATGGATGAAATCTCTCTCTCCCCCCATCCCATCCCCATCCCCGTCTCCCCTCTCTCAAATAATAATGGTAGAATGAATGTAAGCATAACACTAAGTTTTTGATAAGAGTATATATCATGGAACTTAGAAGAACTATTGAGCTTATCTTCCAATATGCATAGCACTAGTAACATCTGAGAAGTTGTAGAATAATTAGTAATGCCACAGGTCTCCACAAGGCCAAACCATTGAATGTTGGACTTAGAAAAAACATGTTGAAAGATTAGGAATGACTTTCTAGGTTTAATAGAATACAACAAGATAGCTAGAAGGCATACACTAGATATGTAAAATTCCATCTTCATATTTTAAGCACTAGGGTACATCACTGGATGGAGGGAATAGTATTTTATTTTTCTAAATAGTAATCTGAATAATGATGATAAAATTCCATTAGCCCAGGAAATCCCAGTGATTCAGTGGCATGCTTTCAGAGTTATTTTTATTGATTTGAATTTTTTTTTCTTTTAACTGGTTTTGGTCTTCCACAGTGCTGTTGCATCTCTTCCAAAGCACAAACCTGGTTTCTGGTCAAATGTATCCATGGCTGTAGGCTCTCGATCTGCTGAAGAATGTCAGAGGAAATACATGGAGGACCCTCAAGGAAAAGGATCCCAGAAGCATGTCACTAAGAAAAAGCCAGCCAATCCCAAAGGCCAAAATGGTAACCTTTGTAATAAGTAGGGTTTTTTCCTTGTGCTCAGTGTAGATTTATAATCACTCATTAGGTATATTTTATATTTTATCCAAGAGTCTTTTTATTGATGTAGTCTTAAAATGTTAAAACTATAAAGAACTTCAAAGGTCATCTGTTTAAGTCTTACTTAGGTAGCTACATCCATCAATAATAGCTTAGCAGCCTTGTGCTTTGAGTTTATTCTAGGAAATCTATAGTTGGTTCCAGAAACTTTAATATGTTAATGATTGTTTCTGGGATGTAATTTTTCTTTTTTTTGAGATTTATTTATTTGAGAGACAGAGTTACAGAGGGAGGGAGAGATAGGTCTTCTGTCCAGTGGTTCACTTCCCAAATGGCTGCAGTGGCCGGAGCTGGGCCAATCTGAAGCCAAGAGTGACCTCCAGGTCTCCCACATGGATGCAGGGGCCCAAGCACTTGGGCAATCTTCTGTTGCTTTCCCAGGCCATTAGCAGGGAGCTGGATTGGAAGTGGAGCAGCCGGACATGAACCAGAGCCCATATGGGATGGTCGATAACCTACTATGCCATAGCGCTGGGCTCTCAGGATCTAATTTGAAGACAAGTGGGTATGACCCCTCGTAATTCATGAGAAAACTTGGAATACATTTAGTTTTCATAGTCCCAGGATGACACACTAATATTCATGACAGCTAATAAAAGAATTTTATGTCAGAGAAGTCGTATAAGCTTGCTGCAGCTGTTCTATATATGACAAAGTATGAGGCCGATGAACAAGTTTAGAAAGTGATATTTTTGTTGTTGTTAAAGATTTATTTATTTGGGGACTGGCGCTGTGGCATAAGCTGTTGTTTTAAGTGCCAGCATCCCATATGGGCGCTGGTTTGAGTCCTGACTCCTCCACTTCTTATCCAGCTCTCTGCTGTGGCTGGGAAAGCAGTAGAGGATGGCCCAAGTCCTTGGGCCCCTGCACCCATGTGGGAGACCTGGCTTCTGGCTTCGGATGAATGCAGCTCTGGCCATTGCGGCCAATCAGGGAGTGAACCAGCGGATGGAAGACCTCTCTCTCTCTCTCTCTCTCTCTCTCTCTCTCTCTCTTTCTGTAACTCTGACAAATGTTATTTAAAAGATTCACTTATTTGAACATCAGAGTTAGAGGGGTAGAGAGATAGGGAAAGAGAGAGAAATGGATCTTCCATCTGCAGAGGCCAAAACTGCTAGGGCTGGACCATGCAGAACCAAGAGTTTCTTCTGGGTCTCCAGTGTGAATGGTAGGGGTCCAAGCACTTCTTCCATCCTCTGCTGCTGTTCCCAGGCCTATTAGCAGGGAGCTAGATCGGAAGCAGAGCAGCTAGGACTTGTGCTGTTGCCCATATAGAATTGCTGGCACTGTGGGCGGTAGCTTTACCTGCTACACTACAACACTAACCCCGAGAAAGTGATTTTTAGCAAAGTTTTATTGAAGTAAACAAACAGCTTTCACAGCCACGTGCCCGTGAGAGGGACCTTCTGAAACAGAAAGGCCTTACTGAAAAGAGGAGAGAGAAGACTCCTGGACAGCAACCATGAGGGGTTTTCTCAGTAAGAAAAAATCCGATGAAGGGAAATGATCTGGGGGTTTTATATCCTCTGGAAAGTTTGTATGGGGCCCTTTAAGAAAAGTGTACGGGGCTGGCTCTGTGACATAACAGGTTAAAGCCAAAGCCTGCAGTGGTGGCATCCCATACGGGCACCAGTTCGAGTCCTGGCTGCTCACTTCTTTTTTTTTTTTTTTTTTTTTTTTGACAGGCAGAGTGGACAGTGAGAGAGAGAGAGACAGAGAGAAAGGTCTTCCTTTGCCGTTGGTTCACCGTCCAATGGCCGCCTGCGGCCAGCGCGCTGCAGCCGGCGCACCGTGCTGATCCGATGGCAGGAGCCAGGAGCCGGGTGCTTTTCCTGGTCTCCCATGGGGTGCAGGGCCCAAGCACCTGGGCCATCCTCCACTGCACTCCCTGGCCACAGCAGAGAGCTGGCCTGGAAGAGGGGCAACCGGGACAGAATCCGGCGCCCCGACCGGGACTAGAACCCGGTGTGCCGGCGCCGCTAGGCGGAGGATTAGCCTAGTGAGCCGCGGCGCCGGCCGGCTGCTCACTTCTGATCCAGCTCTCTGCTATGGCCTGGGAAAGCAGTAGAAGATGGCCCAAGGCCTAGGACCTCTGCACCCGTGTGGGAGACCTGGAAGAAGATCCTGGCTCCTGGCTCCGGATCAGCTCAGCTCTGGCCATTGTCAAATTTGTGGAGTGAACCATTGGAATCAAAGGCCTCCTTCCAACCCCATCTCTCTGTAACTCTTTCAAATAAATAAAATAATTATTTAAAAAAAAAAAAAAAAGAAAGAAAAGTGTTCATCTTGCTTTGAGCCCATCTTGCCTTCTTACCTATCATTCCTTCCAAAAGGGCACTCTCTGGTTCCAAATGTCTCCATCTCCAATTTTCTCGTTTGTTAACTAAAGGTCCTAAGCTTTCATCCTTTTTTTTTTTTTTGGACAGGCAGAGTGGACAGTGAGAGAGAGAGAAAGAGAAAGGTCTTCCTTTGCCGTTGGTTCACCCTCCAATGACCACCGCGGCCGGCGCACCGCGCTGATCCGATGGCAGGAGCCAGGTACCCATCCTGGTCTCCCATGGGGTGCAGGGCCCAAGGACTTGGGCCATCCTCCACTGCACTCCCTGGCCACAGCAGAGAGCTGGCCTGGAAGAGGGACAACTGGGACAGAATCTGGCGCCCCGACTGGGACTAGAACCCGGTGTGCCGGCGCTGCAAGGTGGAGGATTAGCCTAGTGAGCCATGGCGCCGGCCATGCTGTATAGTATTCTATAGAGTACATATCCCGTAATTTCTTTATCCAATCTACTGGCTCAGCCAGCTTTCATCCTTTATCTGTAGTCTATTTATTTTTTTAAAGATTTATTAATTTGAAAGGCAGAATAACAGATAGACAGATCTTCCATCCACTGTTCACTCTGCAATGGCCAGGGCTGGGCTGGGCCAAAGTCAGGAGCTTCCATGGGTCTCTAGCATAGATAGGTGCATTAGCAGGGAGCTGGATCAGAAGTGGAGAATTCAGGACTCAAACTGGCGCCAATATGGGATGCCGCTCTTGCATGCATTGGCTCAATCCATTACACCACAACACTAGCCCCAAGATTTTTGCTTTTTAAGTTATGTATTTAGTTTTTGTGTTGCTTAGTAACTAGCGGTACTCTCATCGTGTAGCCCCCTATAGCTGTCTATCGAAGTCTAACCTAACCTAGCTTGCTTTTTCCTACCTATATGTAGCTTTAGAGAGTATCCAGCATCCCTATAATAATTCAGTTAGGTTTATATTTTATCGATAAATTAAGCATTCAGGAGAGTGAGTTGTAGAAGGTGGTTATTCTCATAGCTTACAAGCATTTTGAACTTTACCTTGCCTATTCTTACATATTTTCTTCATGATTATAATGTGGGGTTATTATAATACACACATCCCAGTGTAGAAGGAATCATTTGTTATATAGGCAACTTACAAGAGGCAGTTAACTTTATAGAGCATTTACTATAAATGATCAAATCCTTACCAAATGTTTTGCTGAATCTTAAGGCAAGAGAGGTGATGCTGACAAGAACCAAACTATTAAGATAACTGCCAAAGTGGGAACTCTAAAAAGGAAGCAACAAATGAGGGAATTTCTGGAACAGTTGCCAAAAGATGACCATGATGATTTTTTCAGCACTACAACACCTTTACAGAATCGAAGAGTACTGGTAAGGATCTTAAACATCACTCTTTTCTTTATATTGACTTTACCTTAATTTTTTTTAATTGGTGGTTATTGTTAAGGGCATTGAGTGAGAGCCTACACAGATCTACGACCAAAGCGTGATATAGTGAGCAGTCTGCTGGTATGTGTTATTCTCACAGTTTGAGAAGCTGAAGCCTGGAGCTTTGAGCTCTATTCCAGTCTCCTACTCAGGTAGCAGGGGCCCAGGTATTTTGGGCTTTTCCTCCACTGCTGTCCCAAGCACATGAGCAGGGAGCTGGATCAGAAGCAGGGTAGCTAGGACTTGAGTGGGATGCTGGCATCCCAAATAGAGGCTTAATCCGCTGCACCACAATGCTAGCCCCTACACAACCTTTAGAAAAGGAGTTATAGTTTCTGTTTACATAAGAGAAATCAAGCTTTTTTAGAGAAAAATCCTCTGTCATCAACCTAGAAATAATTGAGGCCACCAGAAAACATTTTGTGATCATGAGAAAATCCATATTTTGAGTGCCTGTTGATAACAAATGTTTGTTTTCTAGTTGCCAAGTTTCCAATACAGTCAAGATGATGATGATATTCTGCCAAATATGGACAGAAATCCAACAACTCCATCATCAGTTATCTTTCCATTGGCAAAAACTCCTCAATGTCAGCATGTCAGTCCTGGCATGTTAGCTTCCATAAATAGGTAAACATTTATGCATTGGTATGTTAATTCTTTTCCATCAGCACACTGCAGAAAATGTAAACATTTTATGAGTTCAGGGGCAAAGATGTGATTAATGGGAAGAATGGTCATTATAAAAACAATCAAGAATGAATAATTCCTAGATATTAAGGACAATCAGTAATTCAGTAATATTTCAGTAGTATTCAACAAATAGCTCATATTTACATCAGAATAAATTCCATATGGGTGAATGTTGTACATGTAAAAAAATTAAACTTAAAAAATGCCTGTCAAAAAAATTCCTAAAGAAAATGTAGAGAATTATAACCTCAGCTTAGTGAAGGTCTTTTTTTTGTTTGTTTGTGATAAAAAAGGTTATTTAATGATTTAAGATATTAGACTTCTCTCAAATTTCTTTCTTCTACTTGTGAAAAGCTTTTTTTAAGAAAACTTTTTTTTTTTTTTTGGACAGGCAGAGTGGACAGTGAGAGAGAGAGAGAGAGAGAAAGGTCTTCCTTTTGCCGTTGGTTCACCCTCCAATGGCCGTCACGGCTGGCGCGTTGCGGCCGGCGCACCACGCTGATCCAAAGGCAGGAGCCAGGTGCTTCTCCTGGTCTCCCATGTGGGTGCAGGGCCCAAGCACTTGGGCCATCCTCCACTGCCTTCCCGGGCCACAGCAGAGAGCTGGCCTGGAGAGCGGCAACCGGGAAAGAATTTGGCACCCCGACCTGGACTAGAACCCAGTGTGCCGGCGCCGCTAGGTGGAGGATTAGCCTATTGAGCCGCGGCGCCGGCCAGAAAACTTTTATTTAATAAATATAAACCTCCCTCCCACTCGCAAACCATCCCATCTCCTACTCCCTCTCCCATCCCATTCTTCACCAAGACTCATTCTTAATTATTTTTATATACAGAAGATCAACTTAGTATATACTAAAGATTTCAACAGATTGCAGCCACACAGACACAGAAAATATAAAGTATTGTTTGAATATTAGTTTTACCGTTAATTTGCATAGTACAGTACATTAGGGAAGGAGATCCTGCATAGGGAGTAAGTACACAATGACTTTTGTTGATTTAACAACTGACACTCTTATTTATGACGTCAGTAATCACCCGAGGCTCTTGTCATGAGCTGCCAAGGCTTATAGAAGCCTCTTGAGTTCACAAACTCCGACCTTATTTAGACAAGGCCATAATCAAAGTGGACGTTCTCTCCTCCCTTCAGAGAAAGATACCTCGTGAAGGTCTTTTTTTTTTTTTTTTTTTTTTTTTATTGACAGGCAGAGTTAGACAGTGAGAGAGAGAGAAAGGTCTTCCTTTTTTCGTTGGTTCACCCCCGCCAAGTGGCTGCTGCGGCTGGCGCACTGCGCTGATGCAAAGCCAGGAGCCAGGTGCTTCCTCCTGGTCTCCCATGAGGGTGCAGGGCCCAAGCACTTGGGCCATCCTCCATTGCCTTCCCGGGCCACAGTAGAGAGCTGGACTTGGAAGAGGAGCAACCGGGACAGAATCCAGCGCCCCAACCAGGACTAGAACCTGGGGTGCCGGCGCTGCAGGCGGAGGATTAGCCTAGTGAGCCACGGCGCTGGCCTGAAGGTCTTTAACCATGATGTAAAACCCAGAAGCCACTAAGGGAAAGATTAATAGTCAGCCATATTTTTTTTTTAAAGTGAAAGTTTTTAGCTGGTAGTGCTACCAGAAACAGTCAAAGACAAGTAATTTGAAAAAAGAGCATACACAGCTTAGTATAGGCAAAAGACTAGTTTGCCTAGTCCATATAGCACTCTACAAATTAACAAGAGAAGACAGGTGGAGGATTAACCTATTGCACCATGGTGTGGGACCCAGATACATTCTTTTAAAAACAGAGTTTCCCAGGCCTCTTCACTGGCTCTTCACTTCACCATCTCTATAAGTTGGCTTTTATTTTTAAAAGAAAAGGATAATGGATCATATACAAGGGTGGGAAAGCCTTTTTTTCTGCCAAGGGCTGTTTGGATATTTATAACAACATTTGTGGACCAAAGAGAATGATCAAAAAATTTAGGCTGCTGTAGAGTAATTGAACTTCAAGACCTGCCTATGATTACCTTGGCAGGGCCAAACCAAATGATTTCACCAGCATTATAAAGTCTGCAGGCTGGATATCCCCATCCCTGATATAAGATCTTATAGCCAAAGAAGAATATGAGAATTGATGTTCAGCTGATGTTTACTGTCATACTGGAATTAGAAATTATAGGTATGGGGAACTGAAAATAATCATTCAGTTTGGCTTCAAGCTTCATCTGTAAATTTCTTTTTAAAGAAATGAACAGGAAAAAGGAGTAAAATGGGTGCCAAAAAGGAGTCTTTTTATTTATTTAATTTGTTTATTTGAAAGTCTCAGGGAGAGACAGTGAGAGATCCATCTCCCATCTGCTGGTTCACTCCCCAAATGGCCGTCAGGAACTTCCTCCATGTTTCCCATGTGGGTGCAGGGTCCCAAGCACTTGGGCCATCAAGCACTGGGCTTTCTTAGGCACATTAGCAGGGAGCTGGATCAAAATTGGAGCAGCTGGGAGACAAACCAGCACCCATAGAGGATACCAGCATTGCAGGCAGTGGCTTTTTCTGGTGTACCACAACACTAGCTCTAAAAGTCTCAGTGAGAGGGGTTAGCATTGTGGCTTAGCAGATGAAGCCATTGCCTGTGGCACTGGCATCCCATGTGGGCTCCAGTTCTTATCTCTGCTGTTACACTTCTGATGGAAGATCTCTCACCTTCTCTGAGTTTCAAATAAATTAATTTTTTTTTTTAAAAAGGAAGTCTCAGTTTTGGAAAAGTGGTAGCAAGGTAGAGGTTAGAAAGCACATAGTACAATGAATAGTAAGCAAAGCAAAATTTCTTTGAATATTGATGTTCAGTGTTTTCCTTCAAAATATTTGGAGTGCTTTGTCCATCTCCATAGGCACACCATTTTTGTCTTTGAAGTAGAAAAGAAAAACTGTATTGTTTTAGAGATTGAAATAGATTTTAAATTAGTTTTCTTATGTGTTCTTTAACCTATGGATAAAAAGTATAATTAATGTTCATGTGAAATTATTTTGTATTGAAACAGAAAAGACTGTGATAAATATGTTTCTCGAATACAAAAAAACCATAAAAGTAATGGTGGTGTTGTCTGGGCCAATGTCAAGAAAAGAACAGTAAGTATTTCCATTCTTACTTACCTAATACATATGATAAATTAAGGTAGTTATAAGTTATGGTAACAGTTCTGGCTCTCAAAAGTGCTTATAGTCTAATACAGATAAATTATAGTATAAAGCCATGAATGAAACTAGGATTACCCATGGTAGTTCATAGACTGAAGCAAGATGAGAACAGGTAAAAATTTTAATTTGGTAAATGAAGTAAGATGGGGCACACATGCAGGACAGAGAAAGACATTTGGAGCATGACACACAAGCATAACATAATGTGCAGTGATTGGGGAATAATCCAGATTCAGTCATGATTTTCATAGAGTAAGAAATTTCATCAAATTCCTAGCTTTAAAATAGCTTCAAATGTTTTTCAGATTTAACGATATTTTTACATTCCAACATTTAAAATTACAGAAAAATTTTAATTCAGAGGTGCCTTAAAAAGATGATTTATATCCCTTTGAGAAAAGTTTTGGAGAATACTTTATTCCCTTAAATTACTTTTTAAAATATTAAGTAATGACTTTAATTAAAAAAATTTTTTTTTAAATTTATTTATTTATTTGAAAGTCAGAGTTACACAGAGAGAGAGAGAGGTCTTCCATTCACTGGTTCACTCCCCAACTGGCCACAATGGCCAGAGCTACACCCATCCAAAGCAAGGAGCCAGGAGGTTCCTCCAGGTCTCCCATGCAGGTGCAGGGGCCCAAGGACTTGGGCCATCCTCCACTGCTTTCCCAGGCCACAAGCAGAGAGCTGGATAAGAAGTGGAGCAGCCGGGACATGAACCAGCACCCATGTGGGATGCTGGCAGTGCAGGCAGCAGCTTTACCTGCTATGCCACAGCGCCAGTCCCTTAATTTCAAAATTGATGACCACATATAAGTACTAGTATTTTTTTTTCCTAAGTTTTACCTACTTTTTATTTGAAAGGCAAAGTGAACAAATAGAGTTAGCTTTCATCTGCTGGTTTACTTCCCAGTTGCCTCCAACTATAGGCCTGGGCTAAGCTGAAGCCAGGAACCCAGAATTCCATCTGGGTTTCTCATGTGGGTGGAAGAGACCAAAGTACTTGAACCCAATATGGGATGTGAGTGAAACAAGTGGCATCTTAACTGCTGCATGACACCATCTGCCCCACAAGTACTAAGAATTTGGAAAAGCTGATTCATCTCATATTTCCTCAAAGAGCTAATTTTAAAGAATGGTAATTTATGAGCATGGATTAGACAGCACTTAATCCCCCTGATGGTACCCCTTCAAACTGTTGTCTTCCTCCTCCTGTATGCATACTGGAATGTTTATACTACAAATTATATATCCATAGTATAATTCCTTTACAGAATCTCTATTGTGATTACTTACCCCATCCAATATTTATGGGTCTCATTTGTCCACAGAAAATGGTAGATACTATCATTGGGGACCTTGGTTTAAAATTAGGATGGGAAGACCAGTGTCCTGGTACAGCAGGTTAATCTACCACCTATTATGCTGGCATTCCATGTGAGCACAGGTTTGAGTCCCAGATGCTACACTTCTAATCCAGCTTCCCCCTCCCAGGGTGCTTGAGATAGTAACTGGACTCCTGCCACCCATATGCGAGATCCAGATAAAGTTCCTAGCTTCGGGCTCTCCCCATTCAGGCTGCTGTGACCATATCCTGTTATATTTTCTATTTGATTCTTTTCTAGCTGTGGCCAGTACTTTGGAGACCACTGATCTAATATATGTAAACATGTGCTAATTTTAGCCAAAAACTTAAAGTACAGAGAATGAAATCTTACTAAGTGTAAGGTTTTTTCTAAATGCAGTTTAACCAAATCATTTATTATAATTTTATGTTTGTATTTGGTTAATGTTACTAGTCCACTATATTACTAATTTAAACAAAATAAGTAAATAGTACAAACAGGCAATTTTCCAAAGTCCAGAGATTACCTTTAACAACTATATTGTGAGTTTCTAATATCTTATTACAGAAATATTTGCATGCATTGGGAAATAACATTGAATAAGTTAGTTTTTGCTGTGGATAAATGCGGCTCATAAGAAATTAGGCACAGGTTGGGGCCGGCGCTGTGGTACAGTGGGTTAATGCCCTGGCCTGAAGCGCCGGCATCCCATATGGGCACCGGTTTGAGTCCCGGCTGCTCCACTTCTGATTTAGCTCTCTGCTATGGCCTGGGAAAGAAGTACAAGATGGCCCAAGTCCATGGGCCCCTGCACCCACATGGGAGACCGGGAAGAAGCTCCTGGCTTCAGATCAGCTCCAGCCGCTGTAGTCATTTGGGGCGTGAACCAGTAGATGAGAGAATCCTCCTCCCCCCCGCGCCAGCCGCCTTTCCTCTCTCTCTCTGTGTAACTCTGACTTTCAAATAAATAAATAAGTCTTAAAAAAAATTAGGCACAGGTGACTGTAGGCATATAAAGTATTGTATTCTGGGGGAAAAATCTGCATAATTTAGTTTTGAGGTAGGCATCACAGGAAGTAGTATTTTGCTATTAATATGAACTCTTTTATAGGTTGAAATTGATCTCTCACCTCAAGTAACATCAAGAAGAAAAACCCTGTTTAGCAACGGTAAGTGACTTACATCTTTCTGTTCTGGCTTAGTTCTCTCTGAAGTCAGTCTTCATATTTTAGTGGTCAATTCTCTTGGAGTTACTTTGAGAAATGTATTAATCCTTTTTATTAAATTTCTTTTTACAGATTTAGGCGAAAACTCTGGTTTTGGAAAGCTGTTCAGTAATGCAATGGAATCTTTAGATGAAGAAGACAGAGATTATTATTTTTCAAACTCTGATTCTGCATAGTAAAAACAAGAAAATGATTTCTAATAAAGCAGTCAATGTATTTTTATCTTCATTTGGATGATACTTTAAAAAAAAGTTCACATTTTCATATGAAGCTACATTATAAATACTTCATTTGCACTCAAAATATCCTTCAGAATATTCCTCATTGCTGTAGCTTATTAGCAAAATATAAGGAAAACTGTGTAGATACTTGTAAATTTGTTTTTGCAATATTAAAATTTAAGTCTCTTTTAAGCATCTAAGTGTGTTTACTTTAAGAATCATATTCTAAACAGGTTTTTAAAAAGCTTTCAATAAAGTGTTGCTACCATTAAGTTAGAGGAGAATGGGAGAATGACAGAGGTTGTATTGGTGGCTAGTAAATTCACAAAAAGTTTTAAAACAAAACTTGATGATCCAATGTTTAAATTACATATTGTAGAAACTATTTAACATGCTTCTCTCCTGACTGTTCTATCTGTGAAACTACATAAATTTAGGCCGGCGCCACGGCTCACTAGGATAATCCTCCGCTTGCAGCGCCGGCACCCCAGGTTCTAGTCCTGGTCGGGGTGCCAGATTCTGTCCCGGTTGCTTCTCTTCCAGTCCAGCTCTCTGCGGTGGCCTGGGAAGGCAGTGGAGGATATCCGAAGTGCTTGGGCCCTGCACCCCATGGGAGACCAGGAGAAGCACCTGGCTCCTGGCTTCAGATCGGGGCAGTGCGCCAGCTGCAGCAGCCATTTGGGGGGTGAACCAATGGAAAAGGAAGACCTTTCTCTCTCTCTCTCTCTCACTCTCACTCTCTCACTGTCTACTCTGCCTGTCAAAAAAAAAAAAAAAAAGAAACGTACATAAATTTAACTTATTACCTTTTCATTATTTTATTAGATAGAATCAGAGAACAGATTTGATATGTCATAGCAAATTTTTTTTCTTTGAATTCTATGCTGTATAATGTTTTAAAATTAGACAGAATGTTTTCCCTTTAGGTACAGTACATATTCACTACTTTTTCTCCCTATAATGCTCAAATAAAATAAAATTGCTTTTATAGTGTTTGTTCATTGGGGTTTTTGTTTGTTTGTTTGTTTTATTTTTTGTTTGAAAGAGTTAGAGAAGAGAGAAGGGGGGAGAGAGAGACCTTCCACTCACTGGTTCATTCCCCAAATGGCCAGAATGGCTGGAGCTGAGCCAGGCCAAAGCCAGGATCTTGGAGCTTTATCTCAGTCTCTCATATGAGCGCAGGAGCCAAACAATTGGGCCATCTTCCACTGCTTTCCCAGGTGCATTAGCAGGGAGGTAATTGGAAATGGAGCCAGCCAGGTATTGAACCAGCACCCACATGGGATGCCAGTGTCACAGGTGGAGGCTTAACTGTATGCCACAATGCCAACCCCTATTGTTGTTTTTGAAGTACTGGATTTTGAAGTACTGGATTACAGAAAGAAAATAAGTATAACTGTAGGATTTATAGAAACATAAGACTTAAGAAAAAGAGCACAGTTGTACAAAAACCATCTTTTGTTTTAGAGTGACTCTATGACAAGAGTTATTAGGAGCTGAGTTGCTAATATTTGGTATAATGCGGTGCTGCATGAAGTTAATGAGTAGTGTTTTAGGAATTAAGGTCATTAAATCTCTTAACTGAAAACAAAATGCTAATTTGAGACTTAAAAGTCTTAAGCTACCTTTTGTAAGTATACGTGAATTACAAAATATTTTTGCACCAACATACTTACCTTTTTGTCCCATTTCTTCATCAGCTTTTTGAAGTACCCACACCTATGTTGAAACCCAGTAACTTTAAAATATTTCGGTATTAGTTTGTATGGATATATAGGAAAGAAAACATGTTTGTAATCTAAGTTGCCAACAGTCAAACACATGAAACCATTGCTAACAAACAAGGACAGTGCCTTCATCTTGGGGAACATTCCAAAATACATCTCAAAAGCTATACTTTCTTAAACCACCCTCAGTAGTATCTTAAATAAATCTTGTCATAGTAAACTAGAAAAATATTGGTTGCACAATCTAGTTAGTCAAAATGATTACTGGACATTACAGGTTCTTTTAAAGTAATTTATGTAATCTATATGAATAAAATATACAATATAAAATAATGTTTAATCAGGAAATGTTCTCTTATTTACATAGTTTTAACTGATCATCACAAACCACCTCAGTAATTACTGAAGAGCATTTAGTATTGTGAGAGTTCTTTGAGCCATCTGGTGATGCATCAGATTTTAGTCTCTCGGTTAAGATCACTTGGTAGCATATGCATGTCAAACACATAGTGAATATATCTATAGATCTCCTCAGCTTTTTGATGAGTTACTTGTGCATAATTAGAGATTTCTTGAGGTGAGCTGAAAAACAGCAAAAGAAAAAACATTACATCTGTTGACTTTTATAAAAGCCATATCTTTTTTTACTGGTTCACTCCCTAAGTGGCCACAATGGCTGATTGGAAGCCAGGAACCAGAAGCTTCTTCCAGGTCTCCCAAGTGGGTGCAGAGCCCGGAGGACTTGGGCCATACCAGAGAGCTGGATCAGAAGTGGAGCAGCCAGGACTCGAACCAGCACCCACATGGGATGCCGACATTGCAGGTGGCGGCTTTACCCACTACATCACAGCATTGGCCCCAATAAAATAAATCTTAAAAAAAAAAAAAAAAAAAAGCTTCGTGACCTTTCATGTCAAACCATATTTAAAAAAATAAAAAATTGAAAGCAGCAAATGTTAGACCAAATACATAGAAATCAGAGTAAAGAAAGCTTAACATCTTGAAACATTCTCCAGAAGCATACCTCAAAGTAAAGGAATTCTACAAAATGCCTGAAAAGTAATAAAAAATAAGGATTCTTAGGTTAGATAAAGAATACACACAGTGAGGGGCCAGCACTGTGGCGTAGCCAGTAAAGCCACCACTTGAACTGCTGGCATCCTATATGGGCACCGGGTTGAGTCCCAGCTGCTCCACTTCTGATCCAGCTCTCTGGTATGGCCTGGGAAAGCAGTAGAAGATTGCCCAGGTGCTTGGGCCCTGCACCCGCATCAGGACCCGGAAGAGACTCCTGGCTCCTGGCTTTGGATGGTCCAGCTCAGCCCATTGGAACCACTTGAATAGTGAACCAGCAGATGGAAGATACCACTCTCTCTCTCTCTCTTTTAAATAAATAAATAAATCTTAAAAATAATACACATTGAGGTAGATAATTCATACTTTGAATGAGAAATTCAGCATAGTGAGAAATCATAAAACAGTCAATGCAGTAAAAGATCTTCAACAACAATAGCCTAAGCAGCAGCAGGAAGAATTTTCTAGATATCCAGGTCTTATTTAAAAAAAAAAATGATGGGAAGATAGACATCCACAAAACTTAATGCTATACCATTAAGCAAACAGTTTCACAACAGGCGTATTCCAAAAGAATAAAAGGAAAAGGGACAATAAGCTGAGTTCCTGCCACTTACATGGGAGACCCAGATGGATTTCCTGGCTCTTAGTTTAGCATGGAATGGATGGAAATCAGTCAGTCTGTTTCCCTGTCTTTCCTTCTGTCACTCTGCCTTTCAGATATATAAATGCATCTTTAAAAAATAGTAATAAAGAATAAAGGGTCCAGTGTTGTGCACAGCAGGTTTAGCTGCCTCCTGCAATGCCAACACCTCAGTATCCCATATGAGAGTGCCAGTTTTGAATCCAGGCTACTATGCTTCCAGTTTAGCTGCTCCCCACTAATACATCTGGGAAAGCAGAAGAGGCCACTCATTTTGGAGACCTTGGGCCTCAGCCATTGCAGCTATTTTGGGGGGTACACCACCTGATGAGATGCTCTATCTCTCCCCCTGTCTTTTCTGCCTTTCAAGTAAACATTTAAAATATACAAAAAATCGAAAAGCTACATTTTTAAAAGCTTATTAAATAAAATTTACTTAGGTTTAGCTAGACAAGCAAAACTAAATAGAAATGGAAAAGGAGAAATCCCTATCGGTAGAAATCCAATTAGTACAGCCATTATGGAAAAATGAATAGAATTCATATATGACCCAACAATCTTAACTACTGAAAATATAACCAAAGAAAATGAAATCACTTTATCAAAGAGATCCCTGCATTCCCATGTTTATTCCAGCACTATTCACAATAGCCAAGATATGGAATCAGCCAAGTTGTTAATTAGCAGATGAATGGATAAAGAAAATGTGGTATAGGTACACAATTGAATACTATTTAGCCAAAAAATAGAGCAGAAGCCTGTCATGTGGCAACATGTATGAAACTCATGTTAAATGAAATAATCCAGGCACAAAAAGACACATTCTCACTTGTGGAATCTAAAGTTCACACCACAGAAACAGAGGTGAATAGAGGTCATTAGAAGTTAGGAAAGGGGCAGGGGAGAAGAGACAGACAGAGGTTAGATAACAAGTCACCAAGATACAGTTAAATAAGAGTATTTCAAAAAAAAAAAAAAAAGTATTTCATTCTAGTGTTCTGTAGAATGGTAGGGTAAATATAATCTATAACAATATATTTATTACATATTTCAAAATAGCTGGAAGTCTGATGGTCCCTAACAGAAAAATGATAAATGTTTGAAACAGAAATACTGATTACCTTGATTTTGTCATTACACACTGTATGCATACATATATTGAAAATTTATATGGAAGCTCAAAAATAATATCAATTAAAAATGTTAAAATTAATAAGACATACCTGTTAACCATCTTTTTCACAGATGAAAACTGGTAACACATATTTAATGCAGTTATATAACTTATATTGGGTATACTTAAATAAAACTGTAGTGCTTCACATTTACTACTATTCACCACTGTTGGAACATGAATACCAACATGCTTTCGTTGTTCCAATAAAGACAGTTCCTTTAGCAATTCTGCAGTTTCTTCTTGGCAGGAACTAAAAAGAATTCGGATTCCCGCACCAATTAAGGAGGTCAGAAGGCTGTCATAGCTTTTTGTTCTCCTAAACATCCTTGATGTGTCTCCTAAATATTTCATATTTTAGGACAATGAAAATGTTAGTAACAAATATTAAGTAGAATATACTTTACATTTTTTAAATCCAAAGATCTACATCAATAAGCAAAGTAATGCCATATTCTATTAATAAGAAACACCTATAGCAGTTTTAAAGTGATTCTTAAGTATCTGAGATATTATAAGTGTTTTGAACTATTATCAGCACAGAAAGGTAAATAAATAAGAGAATTTGTATCGT